GAGAGTCAGTGTGGCGAGGGAGATAGAGAGAGAGAGAGAGAGAAGAGAGAGATAGAAGAGAGGAGCGAGAAGCTCTAGAGGAGATAGGAGACTTAGAGAGATAGAGCTATCAGACGTACTTGTACTTTGAACTATTTGCACATTGTTTACACAACACTGTATATATACATATATGACATTTGAAATGTCTTATTCTTTTGAAACTTCTGAGTTGTAAGTTTAACTGTTAATATTATTGTTTATTTCACTTTTGTTTTACTATCTACTTCCCTTGCTTTGGCATTAAACACGTTTCCCATGCCAATAAGCCCTTAAATTGAAATTGAATTGAATTGAATTGAGAGAGAGAGAGAGAGGGAGGAGATAGAGAGAGAAGAACTGAGAGTCAAGCAGAGAGGATGATAGAGATTGCATGGAGAGATGAGTGACTCTACACTTACCGAACATTATATCATGATGAGAAGTATGAATGGCGATAGCAGAGAGATACGATGGGTGCCATACTGATATCCGTTCGTAATAGGAACTGAGAGATGGGGACATTACAAATATAACACCGCATCATTCTCAGTATTATATAGTGGGGAGAGTGCATGGCCATCCTGCTCATTTAATATTGGGAGATAAGAGAAAACGAATTAAAAAATCGAGATAAGATGGAGCACGAGAGAGAAGAGCGAGACGAGAGAGAATGAGAACTTCGAGAACTGAGCTGCAAAGCGCTCTCTATCCAATATGATTAAAGCCGTGGATCTACTTGCAAATTTTTATCCTTCGAAAAGGGAGAGTAAGTGGGGAAGGAGGGAGAAAAGAGAGAGGGGAGAGGAAAGAGAGAGAGTTTTTGAAGAAGAAAAGAAAAAAAAGAAGAAAGGAAGAAAGAGGAGTTTGAAAATTTTTATTTTTTTTTTCAATTTTTAAAAACCTTTTATTTTTTAATTAATTTTGGGGGGTTTCCCTTTTCCCCAAAAATGGGAAAGGGGGGAAAAATAGAAAGGGTTTAAAAACCCCCCGGGGGCCCAGGGAAAAAATTTTTCCCGAAAAAACCCCCTTTAAGGGAAAGAATTAATTGAATTGGGAAGAGAGCGGGGAGAGAAAAGAGAGGTGAAAGGGGAAGAAAAAGGGGAAAAAGGGGGGGGAAAAAAAAAAAGGGGGGGGGGGGAAAACCCCCCCAAAAAAAAAGGGAAAGGGGGGGGTCTGGGCCCCCCCGGGGGGTCCCTTCCCGGGGGGGCTTTTGGGGTAAGGGGGGACATTAAACAAAAAAACCCACCCCCAGACTCTCTCAGGGTGGGTGAATATGGCCATCTCTCATTTATCGTTATTGCTTATTTATGAAACGCCAGCCTCCTCTATTCCAATGTCGGCGTCCATTATTCGTAATGGGAAACGCCACCTTGCTCCGTTGCGTCCTGTGGGAATCCTGTGATAGCACATCATCATCAGGCTCTATTGACTAGACACCAAAACAGACAGAAAAGGGGAGGGATTACCTACCTGAATCTGTCCAATAAGAAACTCTTGTTTTTGTTGCAAAACATTTTCAGTTGCAAAACATTTTGCTACTATGTGCAATAATGATTAGGACCCAGGCAGTCTTCATGGGTGTGTGGAGCGACTCTCCAATAGGATGAGGGAGGTTGGAGGCTATAGGGGGCAGGGGACACATTGGTTAATGAATAGCAGCCAGGCAGTCTTCATGGGGGGGTGGAGCGACTCTCCAATAGGATGAGGGAGGTTGGAGGCTATAGGGGGCAGGGGACACATTGGTTAATGAATAGCAGCCAGGCAGTCTTCATGGGGGGGTGGAGCGACTCTCCAATCGGATGAGGGAGGTTGGAGGCTACAGACAATTATTTATCAGTGACCCAAGCCCTGGTCAGATAATCCCTACCATTGTGTCGCAGAGTTGTCGTAGTGCTGCTGCAAATGTCAGTTTTCCCGGGGGTGTTGTCAGTCATAATGTAAGTAACCTAATTTGTGTTTCTCTAACTCCCCTGAATGCCTTTGTCAATCTGACAGCTATTGTCAGCAGTAACCATGGCGCCTATGAACCTTAGTTATACTGTTAGCACTGAGACGGTTTGCCCTAGTAGGAGTATTGTGAGTCATTGGCTGTTAATTATTATTGAAGTAAACTTCTAATGATGTGATCCAAGTGAGGCTCTGTTAGTAGAGCATGGCGCTTGCAACACCAGGGTTGTGGGTTCGATTCCCATGGGGGACCAGTACAAAAAAGTATGAAAAATGTATGCACTCTACTGTAAGTCGCTCTGGATAAGAGCATCTGCAAAATGACTCAAATGTAAATTAAGTCCACCGTGTGCAGTTCACCCTGAACTATCAGCTCAAATATATACTGGACTGAAATATAAACACAACATGTAAAGTGTTGGTTTCATGAGCTGAAATAAAAGATCCCATAAACTTTCCAAACGCACAAAAAGCTTATTTCTCTCAAATGTTGTGCACAAATTTGTTTACATCCCTGTTAGTGAGCCTTTCTCCTTTGCCAATATAATCCATCCACCTGACAGGTGTGGCATATCAACAAGCTGATTAAACAGCATAATCATTACACAGGTGCACCTTGTGCTGGGGACAATAAAAGGCCACTCTAAAATGTGCAGTTTTGTCACACAATGCCACAGATGTCTCAAATTTTGATGGAGCATGCAATTGGCATGCTGACTGCAGGAATGTCCACCAGAGCTGTTGCCAGATAATTGAATGTTAATTTCTCTACCATAAGCCTACACGTCGTTTCGGAGAATTTAGCAGTACATCCAACCAGCCTTACAACCGCAGACCATGTGTAACCACGTGTAACCACGCCAGCCCAGGACCTCCATTTCTGGCTTCTTCACCTGCGGCGTCATGTATACTCCCCTTCTGGCCTCTAGGTCACCAGGCTGCTCTTTATTACGCACACCTGTCACCATCGTTACATCAGACTCCCCTGGACTCCATCACCTTCCTGATTACCTCCCCTATATATGTCACTCCCTTTGGTTCCTTCCCTAGGCGTGATTGATCCTGTTACTCTGTTCCTGTCTGTACGTTACTCTTGTTTTGTGCCATGTTTTATTTATCATGAAATGCACTCCCTGTCCTTGCTTCCCGACTCCCAGCGTACATTGTTACATGCGGGATCATCTGAGACCAACCTCCCGGACAGCTGATGAAACTGTGGGTTTGCAAAACCAAAGAATCTGCACAAACTGTTAGAAACCGTCTCAGGGAAGCTCATATGCGTGCTCGTCGTCGTCACCACGGTCTTGACCTGACTGCAGTTCGGCGTCGTAACCGACTTCAGTGGGAAAAATGCTCACCTTCGATGGCCACTGGCATGCTGGAGAAGTGTGCTCTTCACGGATGAATCCCAGTTTCAACTGTACCAGGCAGATGGCAGAAAGAGTGTATGGCGTTGTGTGGGCGAGCAGTTTGTTGACGTCAACGTTGTGAACAGAGTTCCTCATGGTGGCGGTGGGGTTATGGTATGGGCAGACATAAGCTACGGACAACGAACACAATTGCATTTTATCGATGGCAATTTGAATGCACAGAGATACCATGAGGAGATCCTGAGGCCCATTGTCGTGCCATTCATCCGCCGCCATCACCTCATGTTGCAGCATGATAATGCACAGCCCCATGTCGCAAGGATCTGTACACAATTCCTGGAAGCTGAAAATGTCCCAGTTCTTCCATGGCCTGCATACTCACCAGACATGTCACCCATTGAGCATGTTTGGGATGCTCTGGTTCGACGTGTATGACAACATGTTCCAGTACTCAGTAAAATATTTAAAATTGTTGCATGTTGCGTTTATATTTTTGTTCAGTGTAAATATTGCTGTCATGCCTACTTCTGATAAGCCTCCCAGTAAAGCAATAAAAACAATGAAACATCCCAGAAAATCACTAAAAATAGGCCACATTAACATATGTAACCTAAGAAACAAAATTCATGAAATCGATAACTTGCTAGTAACAGATAACATTCATACATTCATCGCTGAAACTCACTTAGATCATTCCTTTGATGATACAGTGGTAGCAATACATGGTTATAACATCTACATAAGAGACAGGAATGCCAATGGGGGAGGTGTTGCTGTTTATATTCAGAGTCATATTCCTGTAAAGCTGGGGATCCATAATAAATACAAATACTGTACATTGGCCAGATTCTCCACCCTTCTCTTAAAGTTATGTTCAATTATGTTTAATCACACACTCATTCCCTCTCAGCAGTTACAGCTTCTCTACATTAGAGGGAGGGGGTTTTGTCCTACCCTGTTGTTCATTTGTTTCTGGAGTTTCAGAGAAAATGTGCATGTGTGTGTGAATGGGAATCAATTGTTTGTCCCCAAAAAGTCCTTACAAGTATAGTAAGACATAGCTGTGTGTGTGTGTGTGTGTGTGTGTGTGTGACATTTTATGAGAAAAAAAACATTGAAGTTTGCAGTACTACACAGTACACACACCATAATGCCTTGAATTCTGCTCATATTTACCTTTACTGTTGCTGCATGCATGCTCTCTTCTCACTCCCACTCGAGATGCTGTCGCTTGGCAACGCATATTCCAAGTGATGTGCAAAAAACAACTTGCTGCAGTTGCTAGCTGCAGAGGAGATTGAGAAGATGAACATCGGTTTATATTATTTGTATGTTTTTTTGAGGGTCAGTGAAGTTAGCTAGGTAAACCTCTGGGTTATTTGAACAGACCTGTTGCGCTCACAGCGCTTGCTTGGTCGTTCCAAAGTCCGGAAGATGGCGCTGCTATAAAGAGAAGGGGGCCGTGGCTCTTTCATCAAGAATCGAAGAAGGACTGGGAGCCGGAAAAAAAAGAAAGGAGGCCGACCCGACACAAAACATAACGCACACTGATAGCTGTAGCGGGTCCATTAATGGACGTAAAATAAACAGATAGCGAGCGAATACGCTTGTTCACCGAATTTAATCCCGTTGAGAGCAGGTCATGCTGTTCTCGCAAAGGTAATGAGCCGTAAAGCCCTTGGGTTTCGGCTTAGCAGCGCCCACAAACTGCAGCGAGACTGGAATGATTGGCAGCCCAGGTTGGTATCGCGCCACGGGTGAGACAGTCTAGAATAGAACGGGGATTCGCTGGGCCTAACCGCAGCTTCTTTATTTAGCTAGCTAGCTAGTCAGCCACTTTGGTTCCCACACGTGAGGGAAATGGCTTGATAACAGTAACTAGCCAGTAACCAAGCTAACGCTCAAGCTTGATAACGTTATCCAAACTAGCTAGGTACGCTATCAAGGATAACCAACACTTTGCGCATTTATTCGGACTCTAAACACAACCTGCCGCATTTCATTGCTATGCTTTCCTCGTGTTTAGGTAGACATGGCTAGCTAGCTAACCTAATATTATTAGTGGTCAGAGAAGCCAATGCTTGGCAGCTATTTCGGTAACATTGGAAGTGGTGTTAGCTAGTAATTGGTAGTTATTACTATTATTAGCCAATATTCGTTGTCACTGAGATGACATGTTACCTTCACTTGGTAGCCAGCTAGTTAGTTGGCTAACTGACATTAGTTAGCTCAAAGCGCAAATGTAGCCAGCTAACTAGCAAGCTAACTATGGCTGGTGTTCGTTAGCTAGCTAGGTTCTAACTTTCTTCACCTTTGTCCCCAGAGTGATTGGGCTTGTTAGATAGCTAGCTACCAATCGTTGGGTGGTTGTGCTTTGATAACGCGGTATCCGGATCAGTAAACTGATTTGACATCAAATGGTGTGCTAACGTATAGTGTGGCAACTTTGGCTTTCAAGCTGGCTAACTAGCTACCTGGCTACGGAACGATGAGCCATCGGTGGGCAACGTTTGTCTTTCCTGCTGTCTTGTGTTACGTTATCTGGTCAACAATGATTAGCTAGATGACTTTAGCTTGATAGTTCATATTGGCTACCTAGCTATCGCTCAAAAATAACTAACCAGAAGACAGCTAACTAGCTACTATGTTTTAACGCTTGCTAACTGATTGCTAACCTGCTATCTTTCCTAGTTGGCGCGGTACCACCCTTTGCCAGCAAACGAAAGTGATTTTAGCAATGCTGTCAGCGGATTGAATTGCACAAGGACATCAATAAAGTACATTATGCAAGCTCATCAGTTCTTGATTAAAGAGAGGGAGGTGTTTTTAGAACATTCCTTCAGTTGAGACCTGCATTTGACGTTTCTGTTCAGACAAATGCTCATAGTCTTGTGGAAAACTATTCAACAGTGCTGTAAATTAGCTAGAATAATTTCTCCATCCATGTATCCAGTTGTTCAATCCTAGACTTGTAAACCAGATTGGGGTGAGATTGTCAAACTGTAGGGAGTGTGTCCATATAAGTTATGATGATGAACCACTATCTAGCAAGTACAAGTTGCCCTGACTGTCTTCCCTGGTGGATTTCACTGACTGTGTGTTTGTGTGTCCTGCCCCCCTGTGTGTCCGTCCCCCCTGTGTGTCCGTCCCCCTGTGTGTCCTGCCCCCCTGTGTGTCCGTCCCCCTGTGTGTCCTGCCCCCCTGTGTGTCCTGCCCCCCTGTGTGTCCTGCCCCCCTGTGTGTCCGTCCCTCCGTGTGTCCTGCCCCCCTGTGTGTCCTGCCCCCCTGTGTGTCCTGCCCCCCTGTGTGTCCTGCCCCCCTGTGTGTCCTGCCCCCCTGTGTGTCCTGCCCCCCTGTGTGTCCGTCCCCCTGTGTGTCCGTCCCCCTGTGTGTCCTGCCCCCCTGTGTGTCCGTCCCCCTGTGTGTCCGTCCCCCTGTGTGTCCTGCCCCCCCTGTGTGTCCGTCCCTCCGTCCGCCTGCTGCCCCCCTGTGTGTCCGTCCCTCCGTCCGCCTGCTTCAGAGGCGACAGTGTGTCAGCAGCTATCCAGGACGGTGTGAAGCGCATCGCCACCAGAGACCTGGGTCCAGCTGTATACGACCCAACAGCAGTGGGAGTAGCAACCTCGGACCAGCCTGTCTCCCCACCTCTCCTACACAATGATGCCTTCCCAGCCACTGCAGACACTCTGGACGAAGGGGGTGGGTGTTACTGTTACTGTCTACTGTCTGCAGCATGTTGGGGGGGGGGGCGTGCTACTGCATCTGGAAGGAAAGCACCGCGTCCCCGGTTCCCCACAGATATCTGCCCTCATGGCAGAGAAGTCTGCGTCTCAAATGGCACTCTATTCCCTATGTAGTGCACTACTTTTGACCAGGGCCCAATGGCAACATATTTCCTCTATACTACTACTTTACTACAAGGGCTCATGGGGCTCTGGTTAAAAAATAGTGCACTATATAGGGAATAGGATGCCTATATAGTGCATATAGTCCTCTGTAGCTCAATTGGTAGAGCATGGCGCTTGTAACGCCAGGGGAGTGGGTTCGATCCCCGGGACCACCATACGTAAAAATGTATGCACGCATGACTGTAAGTCGTTTTGGATAAAAGCGTCTGCTAAATGGCATATTATTATATTATTATTATTATTATTATTATTATTTGGGACGCATACAAGGTGTTAGCCACCTACGCTGCCCTGTAGCCTAAGTAATTATAGTTACGGTGATTGGTGAAGTCACACACCGGTGCTTGGCGTTGTGCTTAATCATGTGCTGTGCGCGCTAGCAGCTGGTATTGTAATAATGATGCGTCCGCTTCCAGAGACTAGCTGTGCTTGGTCACGTTTCATGTTCAGACCCTTGGTTTCGGTGTACTCCAGCACCAGGGTAGTGGACTCCATGGCAGCATGCCTTCGCATAGCCCTTGATCATGACACACAGTTCCATTACATTACACATGAGTCACTGGACGAAGGCGTCTTTTGTATGGGGGAGTTTTGGTAAGATCCCCAACGCTCAGTCCAAAAATGAACATGCATCACTTGCGGTACGGTTTTGGAAGCGTAAGGACCTTATCTTAAAAAAATAAAATAAAGGTTAAATTCATGCATACCATGATAGGCTTGGTGTTCCCACACGGCCACATCGCCATGTTTCAACGCTTGGTCACGGAAAACTGACGGTAGACAGAGCTTGACCAGCTGTGCTAATTAGCCATCTACCGCGCTCCTAACACCTGTGCTAATTAGCCATCTACCGCGCTCCTAACACCTGTGTGTAATCTAACTGGGGAAGTGGAGTTTGGTCGGATAGCTGTATGGATAACCCTAGCTGTATAGATCTGTGCAAAACTGCTGATGAAAGATGAGGGCCATATGTTTAAAAAGCCATATTGCAAGTATATGGCTGTTGACCTTTCTGAACGTTCTAAAACAGCGTTGGGATTGTAGTTCACATGAGCCAGTCGTGGCATGGGCCCTGTGGCATGGGCATGGGCCCTGTGGCATGGGCATGGGCCCTGTATCCATGGGCATGGGCCCTGTATCCATGGGCATGGGCCCTGTATCCATGGGCATGGGCCCTGTATCCATGGGCATGGGCCCTGTATCCATGGGCATGGGCCCTGTATCCATGGGCATGGGCCCTGTATCCATGGGCATGGGCCCTGTGGCATGGGCCCTGTATCCATGGGCATGGGCCCTGTGGCATGGGCATGGGCCCTGTATGCATGGGCATGGGCCCTGTATCCATGGGCATGGGCCCTGTGGCATGGGCCCTGTATCCACAAAGCAAATCAAAATGGATTTGCCACGTGCTTCGTAAACAACAGGTGTAGACTAACAGTGAAGTGCTTACTTACGAGCCCTTCCCAACAATACAGAGAGTAAAATAGAGAAATAATATAAAAATAATAACACAAGGAATACATACACAATGAGTAACGATAACATGGCTATATACACAGGGTACCAGTACTGAGTCGATGTGCAGGGGTACGAGGTAATGGAGGTAGATATGTACATATAGGTAGGGGTAAAGTGAGTAGGCAACAGGATAGATAATAAACAGTAGCAGCAGCGTATGTGATGAGTCAAAAGAGTTAGTGTAAAAAGGGTCAATGCAGATAGTCCTGGTAGCTATTGGTTAACTATTTAGCAGTCTTATGGCTTGGGAGTAGAAACTGTTCAGGGTCCTGTTGGTTCCAGACTTGGTGCATCGGTACAAGCTTGCCGTGCGCTAGCAGAGAGAACAGTTTATGTCTTGGGTGGCTGGAGTCTTTGACAATTTTTTGTATCTCAGAGCAGGCGTGCTGATTTTAGCATCTGTCCATATAATCATATTCATTATGATCTAAAGGGAAAAACGGATCCTAGATCAGCACTGCTACTCTGAGGCACTTTGTGTAAAATGGGCCCTGGTCAAAAGTAGTTCAAAAGAGGGTGCCATCTCTGGCGCAGCCAGCGTTGTCGTAGTGACAGGAACTGTTCCTTCTGAGACTGCTGTGGTGGAATGACCACCTCTTCCATCTTTCACTGTGTTTGGACTTTCATCCATGGGCTCATACAGCAGTAATGATGGTGATCATTTCTCTGTGCTTTGTTGGCTGTATAACCAGGACACTCTCTGGTGGAGCTAGCACTGTATGCTTTCTGGTGGAAGACTAACGCTTTCTCTCCCCTCTCTCTCTCTCCACCTCTCTCCCTCTGTCTTTCCAACACACACACTCTCTCTCTCCCCTCTCTCGCTCTCTGCCCCCCCCCTCCCCCCCCAGGAGGATATGAAGCTGCAGGAGGGTTCAGTGATGATACTTTTGGTTGGAAGTCGTTGGGGCAAGAGTTGAGGATCAACGATGCGACCGCCGATTTGACCACTTTTCAGCAGCATGGAAACCGTGCTTTAGCTTCTAAGGACATGAGGAAATCCCACGGTGAGTATGTAGCCTACGTCAGGGGTTATTAAACCTCTCCTCAGGAACCCCCAGACTTAACTCTGCTGATTCACCTAGTCAAGGGCTTGATGATTAGTTGACCAGTTGAATCGGGTGCTAACTGTGGAATAGATATAATCCATGGATTGGCTGGGGGCTCTGAGGAGAGGTTTGGAAACCACTGGCCTATGTGACACCCGTACAGGCGTCGATCTACTCAGTTTGCCTAGATAGAATGGCATTTATAATCACCATTTCATCTCTCTCTCTCCACAGACAGAGGGATGTCTCACTCTGATGAGTCTCGCCTGTCCAACCTCCTGCGCCGTGTGTCCCGTGAGGAGGACAGGGACCGCCGGCTGACCTCCGTCAGACAGCTCCGGGAGTTCATCACTCACTCTGACAACAAAGTGGTGAGGTCATCAATCATCTCAATCTGGGTAGTTCATCACTCACTCTGACAACAACAGTGGTGAGGTGATCAGTCAGTCAATCGATCCCAGCAACCCAGGGAGGTCTTAACTCCCTAGCTTAGAGATTCTCCCTAGGATAGGATAGCTGTGGTCAGTGGTCAGGGCCTCTGGTCTAGAGGGATATTAGTGGCTGCATCCCAAATGGTACCCTGTTCCCTACATAGTGCACTACTATAGGCCCTGGTCAACAGTAGTGCACTATAAAGGGAATAGGGTACCATTTGGGATGCACAACTGTGTCGCTCTCTCTGGCTGAGCTCTGCATTGTTGTCTCTTATGACAGGCCTTAGATAACCAGGGCTGTTTTTAGACTGAGGGTTATATTTACCAGGGCTGTTTTTAGACTGGAGGGGTTATATTTACCAGGGCTGTTTTTAGACTGGAGGGGTTATATTTACCAGGGATATTTTTAGACTGGAGGGGTTATATTAACCAGGGCTGTTTTTAGACTGGAGGGGTTATATTAACCAGGGCTGTTTTTAGACTGGAGGGGTTATATTTACCAGGGCTGTTTTTAGACTGGAGGGGTTATATTTACCAGGGCTGTTTTTAGACTGGAGGGGTTATATTTACCAGGGATGTTTTTAGACTGAGGGTTATATTTACCAGGGCTGTTTTTAGACTGGAGGGGTTATATTTACCAGGGATGTTTTTAGACTGGAGGGGTTATATTTACCAGGGCTGTTTTTAGACTGGAGGGGTTTATTTACCAGGGATGTTTTTTAGACTGGAGGGGTTATATTTACCAGGGTGTTTTTAGACTGGAGGGGTTATATTTACCAGGGGCTGTTTTAGACTGGAGGGGTTATATTTACCAGGGCTGTTTTAGGACTGGAGGGGTTATATTACCAGGGATGTTTTTAGACTGAGGGTTATATTTACCAGGGATGTTTTTAGACTGGAGGGGTTATATTAACCAGGCTGTTTTTAGACTGGAGGGGTTATATTAACCAGGGCTGTTTTTAGACTGGAGGGGGTTATATTTAACCAGGGCTGTTTTTAGACTGGAGGGGTTGTTTTTATTTACCAGGGTGTTTTTAGACTGGAGGGGTTATATTTACCAGGGCTGTTTTTTAGACTGGAGGGGTTTTATATTAACCAGGGATTGTTTTTAGACTGGAGGGGTTATATTTAACCAGGGCTGTTTTTAGACTGGAGGGGGTTAATTTACCCAGGGCTGTTTTTAGACTGGAGGGGTTATATTTACCAGGGATTTTTTAGAACTGGAGGGGTTATATTAACCAGGGATGTTTTAGACTGGAGGGGTTATATTTACCAGGGGCTGTTTTTAGACTGGAGGGGTTAATATTTACCAGGGCTGTTTTTAGACTGGAGGGGTTATATTTACCAGGGCTGTTTTTAGACTGGAGGGGTATATTTACAGGATGTTTTTAGACTGGAGGGGTTATATTTACCAGGGCTGTTTTTAGACTGGAGGGGTTATATTTACCAGGGCTGTTTTTTAGACTGGAAGGGGTTATATTTACCAGGGATGTTTTTAGACCTGGAGGGGTTATATTTACCAGGGCTGTTTTTTAGACTGGAGGGGTTTTATATTTACCAGGGCTGTTTTTAGACTGGAGGGGTTATATTTACCCAGGGCTGTTTTTAGACTGGAGGGTTATATTTACCAGGGCTGTTTTTAGACTGGAGGGGTTATATTTAACCAGGGCTGTTTTTAGACTGGAGGGTTATATTTACCAGGGCTGTTTTTTAGACTGGAGGGGTTATATTTACCAGGGCTGTTTTTAGACTGGAGGGGTTATATTTACCAGGGATGTTTTTAGACTGGAGGGTTATATTTACCAGGGCTGTTTTTAGACTGGAGGGTTATATTACCAGGGCTGTTTTTAGACTGGAGGGTTATATTTACCAGGGCTGTTTTTAGACTGGAGGGGTTATATTTACCAGGGCTGTTTTTAGACTGGAGGGGTTATATTACCAGGGCTGTTTTTAGACTGGAGGGGTTATATTTACCAGGGCGTTAATTGTTTTTAGACGGGAGGGTTATATTTACCAGGGATGTTTTTAGACTGGAGGGGTTATATTACCAGGGCTGTTTTTAGACTGGAGGGGTTATATTAACCAGGGATGTTTTTAGACTGGAGGGGTTATATTACCAGGGCTGTTTTTAGACTGGAGGTTTATTACAGGGATTTTTAGACTGGAGGGGTTATATTAACCAGGGCTGTTTTTAGACTGGAGGGGTTATATTTACCAGGGCTGTTTTTAGACTGGAGGGGTTATATTACCAGGGTGTTTTTAGACTGGAGGGGTTATATTTACCAGGGTGTTTTTTAGACTGGAGGGGTTATATTTACCAGGGCTGTTTTTAGACTGGAGGGGTTATATTACCAGGGCTGTTTTTAGACTGGAGGGGTTATATTTACCAGGGCTGTTTTTAGACTGGAGGGGTTATATTTACCAGGGCTGTTTTTAGACTGGAGGGGTTATATTTACCAGGGATGTTTTTAGACTGGAGGGGTTATATTTACCAGGGATGTTTTTAGATGGAGGGTTATATTAACCAGGCTGTTTTAGACTGAGGGGTTATATTAACCAGGGCTGTTTTTAGACTGGAGGGGTTATATTTACCAGGGCTGTTTTTAGACTGGAGGGGTTATATTTACCAGGGATGTTTTTAGACTGAGGGTTATATTTACCAGGGATGTTTTTAGACTGGAGGGGTTATATTTACCAGGGCTGTTTTTAGACTGGAGGGGTTATACATTTACATTTACATTTTAGTCATTTAGCAGACGCTCTTATCCAGAGCGACTTACAGGAGCAATTAGGGTTAAGTGCCTTGCTTAAGGGCACATCGACAGATTTTTCACATAGTCGGCTCGGGGATTAGAACCAGCGACCTTTCGGTTACTGGCACAACGCTCTTACCCACTAAGCTACCTGCCGCCCATATATTATATTAACCAGGGCTGTTTTTAGACTGGAAGGGTTATATTTACCAGGGCTGTTTTTAGACTGGAGGGGTTATATTTACCAGGGATGTTTTTAGACTGGAGGGGTTATATTTACCAGGGCTGTTTTTAGACTGGAGGGGTTATATTTACCAGGGATGTTTTTAGACTGGAGGGGTTATATTTACCAGGGCTGTTTTTAGACTGGAGGGGTTATATTAACCAGGGCTGTTTTTAGACTGGAGGGGTTATATTTACCAGGGATGTTTTTAGACTGGAGGGGTTATATTTACCAGGGATATTTTTAGACTGGAGGGGTTATATTTACCAGGGATGTTTTTAGACTGGAGGGGTTATATTTACCAGGGCTGTTTTTAGACTGAGGGTTATATTTACCAGGGCTGTTTTTAGACTGAGGGTTATATTTACCAGGGCTGTTTTTAGACTGGAGGGGTTATATTTACCAGGGATGTTTTTAGACTGGAGGGGTTATATTTACCAGGGATGTTTTTAGACTGGAGGGGTTATATTTACCAGGGCTGTTTTTAGACTGGAGGGGTTATATTTACCAGGGCTGTTTTTAGACTGGAGGGGTTACTGTGAGGGAAAAAAGTATTTGATCCCCTGCTGATTTTGTACGTTTGCCCACTGACAAAGACATGATCACTCTATAATTTTAATGGTAGGTTTATTTGAACAGTGAGAGACAGAATAACAACAAAAAAATCCAGAAAAACGCATGTAAAAAATGTTATAAATTGATTTGCATTTTAATGAGGGAAATAAGTATTTGACCCCTCTGCAAAACATGACTTAGTACTTTGTGGCAAAATCCTTGTTGGCAATCACAGAGGTCAGACGTTTCTTGTAGTTGGCCACCAGGTTTGCACACATCTCAGGAGGGATTTTGTCCCACTCCTCTTTGCAGATCTTCTCCAAGCCATTAAGGTTTTGAGCCTGACGTTTGGCAACTCGAACCTTCAGCTCCCTCCACAGATTTTCTATGGGATTAAGGTCTGGAGACTGGCTAGGCCACTCCAGGACCTTAATGTGCCTCTTCTTGAGCCACTCCTTTGTTGCCTTGGCCATGTGTTTTGGGTCATTGTCATGCTGGAATACCCATCCACGACCCATTTTCAATGCCCTGGCTGAGGGAAGGAGGTTCTCACCCAAGATTTGACGGTACATGGCCCCGTCCATCGTCCCTTTGATGCGGTGAAGTTTTCCTGTCCACTTAGCAGAAAAACACCCCCAAAGCATAATGTTTCCACCTCCATGTTTGACGGTGGGGATGGTGTTCTTGGGGTCATAGGCAGCATTCCTCCTCCTCCAAACACGGCGAGTTGAGTTGATGCCAAAGAGCTCGATTTTGGTCTCATCTGACCACAACACTTTCACCCAGTTCTCCTCTGAATCATTCAGATGTTCATTTGTAAACTTCAGACGGCCCTGTATATGTGCTTTCTTGAGCAGGGGGACCTTGCGGGCGCTGCAGGATTTCATTCCTTCACGGTGTGTTACCAATTGTTTTCTTGGTGACTATGGTCCCAGCTGCCTTGAGATCATTGACAAGATCCTCCCGTGTAGTTCCAGGCTGATTCCTCACCGTTCTCATGATCATTGCAACTCAACGAGGTGAGATCTTGCATGGAGCCCCAGGCTGAGGGAGATTTACATTATTTTGTGTTTCTTCCATTTGAGAATAATCGCACCAACTGTTGTCACCTTCTCACCAAGCTGCTTGGCGATGGTCTTGTAGCCCATTCCAGCCTTGTGTAGGTCTACAATCTTGTCCCTGACATCCTTGGAGAGCTCTTTGGTCTTGGCCATGGTGGAGAGTTTGGAATCTGATTGATTGCTTCTGTGGACAGGTGTCTTTTATACAGGTAACAAGCTGAGAGTGTGCTCCTAATCTCAGCTCGTTACCTGTATAAAATACACTTGGGAGTCAGAAATCTTTCTGACTGAGAGGGGGTCAAATACTTATTTCCCTCATTAAAATGCAAATCAATTTATAACATTTTGGACATGTGTTTTTCAGGATTTTGTTGTTGTTATTCTGTCTCTCACTGTTCAAATAAACCTACCATTAAAATTATAGACTGATAATTTCTTTGTCAGTGGGCAAACGTACAAAATCAGCAGTGGATCAAATACTTTTTTCCCTCACTGTATATTTACCAAGGCTGTTTTTAGACTGGAGGGGTTATATTTACCAGGTGGTGCATCTCCACTGTAGAACTGTGTTCTCTCCCTGTTTGACACTGATTGTGTTCCTCTCACTCTCCCTCCCCCTCTCTCTCCTTACCTCTCGGCTCTCTCTCTCTCCTTCCCCCTCTACTCGCCCTCTCGCTTCCTTACTACCCTCTCTCGCTCTCTTCTCCTTACCCCTCCCCCCCTCAGCCTCTTCGTCTCTCTCCTTACCCCTCGCTTTTTCCCCCTCCCTTTTGTCCCCCCCCTTCCCTTTTTTCCCCTTCCCCTTGTTTTTCCCCCGAAAAAAGGGGGGGGGGGGGGGTTTTAAAAGGGTTGGGGCCCCCCAAACCCCCCCCTTTTCCCCCTTAAAACCCCCCTTTTCCTTTACCCTTGGGGTCTTTTTTTTCCGTTCTTTTTCCCAAAACCCCCCGCCCCCCCTTTTCCCTTGCTTTTCCCCCTTATTTCGCGCCCCCCCTACCTTCCCCCTCCTTCCTTTTCCCCCCCCTTTTCTTTTCCTTTACCCCCGTTCTTCTTTACCCCTTGTTTCCCTTTCCCTTCCCCCCGGGGGTTTTTTAGCCCCCCAAAAAGGGGCCCCCCCCAAAAAAAACCCCTTTTCCCCCCCCCGGTTTTTTTTAAAAAACCCCGCCCCCCCCCCCCCCTTTCGTTTTCCCCCCCCCCCCTTTTTTTCCCCCGAACCCCCGGGCCCTTTTCCTTAACCCCTCGGTTTCCCCCCCCCTTTCCCCCCAAAAAATTTTTTTTTATTCCGTTTTTTTATTCTCTTTTTTATTGTTTTCTTTTACCCCTTGGTTTTTCCTTCCCCCTTTTGTTTTCCCCCTTTTACCCCTTGCGTCCCCTTCCTTACCCCCTCTGGGCTCCCCTCTCCTTACCCCTCTCGCCTTCTTTTCCTTACCCTTCCCCCTTTTCCTCCCTCCCCCTTTTTCTCTCTCTTCCTACCCCCCCGCTCTCTTTCCCCACCCCCCCTTTCTTCCTCCCCCTCTCGCTTCTTTCCCCCCCCCCGGCCCCAAAAAAAGGGAAGGGTTTTCCCCTTAACCCTTGGGGTTCCCCCCTTACCCCTCTCGGGTTTTTTCCCCCTCGCGCTCTCTCTCTTTTCCCCCCCTCTCGCTTCTATTCCCTTTCCCTTCTTTCCCCTTTTCCCCCCCCTTTTACCCCTCCCCCTTTCCTCTTTTACCCCTCTTTCCCTTTCCCCTAACCCCCGGGTTTTTTTTAAAAAAAAGGGGGGAAAAATTGGGTTTTTTAAAAACCCCTTTTTTTTATTGTCCTTTTTGGGGTCCTTTCCTTAAAAATGGCTTTTTTTATTCGTTTCTTTTACCCCTTTTTTTAAAACCCCCCTGTTTACCCCCTTTTACCCCTTGGTTTTTTTCCCCCTCGGTTTTTTATCTGGTTTTTTATTGGGTTTTTAAAAACCCCGTTTTCCCCTGGCCCCCTTATTCCCCCTCTTTTCCCCTCTTTTTTCTTTTACCCCTCTCGCCTCTCTTCCCCTTACCCCTCTGTTCTTTTTATTCGTTCTCTCCCCCCTTCCCCCTCTCGCTTCTTCCCCTTACCCTCTCCGCTCTCCTCTCCTTCCCCCTTCGCCTTTTCCTTACCCCTCCCTCTCTCCCTTCCCCCCTCTGTCTTCCTCCCCCCCTTTTTACCCCCCCGCTCTCTCTTTCCCCCTCTCGCTTTTCTTTTCCCCCTACCCCCCCTTTCCCCTCTCTCTCCCCCCTTTCCCCCCTCTGCTCTCTCTTCCCCCCTTCCCCTCTCCTTTTTCCCCTTTACCCCCCCTCCCCCCCCTTTTCTTTTTCCTTTCCCCCCTTCGCGCTCTCCCCCCTTCTCCCCCTTTTCCCCCCCTTTAATTCCTCTCTTCCCCCCTTACCCCTCGTTCTCCTCCCCTTCCCCCTTCGCCTCCCCCTTTTCCCCCCCCTCTCCCTCTTTTCCCCTTCCCCTCTCGTCCTCTTCCTTCCCCTCTCCCCTCTTTCCCTCCCCCTTCGGCCTCTCCCCTTTACCCCTTCGCGCTCTCTTTTCCCTTACCCCTTCCCTCCTCTCCTTCCCCCTCTGGGCCTTCTCTCCTTACCCCTCGCGCCCCCTTCCCCCTTCCCCCTCTCCCCCCCTTTTTCCCCCCTTTCCCCCTCTCGCCTCTCTCCCCTTTACCCCTTCCGCTCTTTCCCTTACCCCCCCTCGCGCTCTCTCTCCCCCCCCCCCCCTTCCCCCTCCCCTCTTTTCCCCTTTTCCCCCTTTTCGCCTCTCCTTCCCCTTCCTTCCCTCTCCCCCTCTCTCCTTCTCCCCCCCCTTTAAAACTTGGTCCCCCCCCAACCCCTTAATTTTGAAAAAAAGGGAAAGAAAATAATAAGAAAGTCCCATGGAGCCCCCTTTTCCCTTGATTTTGTTTAAGTTTTTATGTTTCATGATTTTTGGGTTTTTTAAGCATGGTTGTGTTTTGGTTGTATGACTCTCCTTCTCCTCTGTAGCAGTAAGCTGCTGTCGGAGCTTCGTCGGGGGGGGCAGCGGTGGGTCGGGGCCCTGCTGTGCACCGCTCTGATAAAAGAAAGGCGCATTTTTCGGGGGATGTTTGTAAAAGTCAGCTCCGCCCCGGGACGGTAAGCTGCTCTACTGGTGGCGGTCCCGAGCCCTGGGGGCAGTGGAAAGGAAGCCTTTTAAAATGTCTGCATAAAAACAGGAGGGGAAACCAGGGCCAATTCATATTGTTCACGGGAGGACTGGACTTGGATCATTTGGCCCTTTTTGTCATAATGAATAAAGGGCCCGGGAAGTTGGGAAAGTTAAGTTGGAAAAGGGGGAACTGACTTGTGGTGTCCCCTTTTGTGTCAGCTGGATGAGTACCTGAGTCCATTTTTGGGAAAACCGGACACCCCGGGGCTGTGTGTAAGGGGTCCGCCATCCTGCAGGGGCCCGCGCACCCACCGTCTTTTAGCCCAACTCAGAGTGAGTGGCAAACACACACCCCACACACCACACACTTTCGCCAACTTTAAATTGAGCGTCTGCTGGTTTTTTTTTTCACTACCTCCATCTCCCAGCCTGGGGCCCCCTCCCTCTTTTACACCCCATTCCTATGCGGGCCCCCTCCCCCCTTTCAACCTCCATTCCCCACTGCCTGGCCGCTCCCCCTTTACACCTCCATCTCCATGCCTGGCCCCCCCCTCTTTTATCCCCATTCCTATGCCCGGCCCGTCCCTCTTTCACTACCTCCATCCCACGCCTGGCCCCCTCCCTCTTTCTACCTCCCTCCTACTGCCTGGCCCGCCCCTTTTCATACCCCTTCCTACTGCCCGGCCCCCTCCCCCTATCACTCCTCCATCTCCTACTGCTGGGCCCTCCCCTTTCACTACCTCCCTCTCCCCACTGCCTGGCCCGCTCCCCCCCTTTTTACTCCCCATTCCTATCCTGGGGCCCGCTCCCTCTTTCACTACCTCATTTCCCACTGGGTGGCCCCTCCCCTTTCCCACCCCCTCTCCTATGCCGGGGCCCCTCCCCTTTCACTACCTCCATCCCACTGCCTGGCTGCTCCCTTTCCCACCTCCATCTCCTATGCCTGGCCCCCCTCCCCTTTCCTACCCCCACTCCTATGCCCGGCCGCTCCCTCTTTCACTACCTCCATCTCCTACTGCCTGGCTCGCTCCCTCTTTCTCTCTCCTACTCTGTCAGTCTCTCTCTCTGTCTCTACTAGCGGGTCTTATAAATGTCCCCCAGAGTGTCTACAGTGAAGTATTTGTGTTGTCTTTTGACCATGCCTGTTGTGTGTGTGTGACAGGATACGGTGGATATCTTGGTGGGCTGGCACATCGACCACACACAGAAACAGTCTCTGACTCAACAGGTCTCAGGTGAGTACACACTCAGGTTTATCCATCTACCTCTTAATATAGAACATAATCACAACTTGGTGGGGATGGAAAGATTGCTGCAGGTCTGTAGTTGACAGTGTATGGTTTACGCCAGGGGTGTCAAGGGGTGGTGTGAGTTAAACTCAATATACTTTGAATTGACTAAAACCAAATGGAAACTGTGTAGAAATGATAATGGACCTATATTCATACAGTTATTGATTGTCCAGCTCACTAAAAATCACTAGACAGTCAAGGAGCATCAAATTCCAAAAACAAATTGACTGCAAGGAAATAAAAAATAATTCAGTGCGGCCCTCCGAACCTCTTTGAAGACCGAATGCGGCCCCCGGGGCAAAATGAGTTTGACACCCCTGGTTTACACAAGTAAAATGTATGCGTGTGAACTCTCTGTGTGTGCAGGCTGGCTGCAGAGCCTGGAGCAGTTCTGGGTAGCAGACCTGACCTTCTCCACCACGCTGCTGGGGCAGTTTCTAGAGGACATGGAGGCCTACGCAGAGGTCAGTAACACCACTACATACACGCTCAGTGGCCAGTTTATTAGGTACACCCATCTAGTACCGGTTCCCCCCAGTTTGCCTCCAGAACAACCTGAATTCTTTGGGGCATGGGAAACGTTGCTCAGTTGGTATCAAGGGACCCTAACGTGTGCCGGGAAAATATTCCCCTCACCATTACACCACCGCCACCAGCCTGTACCGTTGACACCAGGTAGGATGGGTCCATGTACTCATTCTGTTTTAAGCCAAATTCTGACTCTGCCATCAGCATGACGCAACAGGAACCGGGATTTGTCGGACCAGATGTTTTTCCACTCTTCAATTGTCCAGTGTTGGTGATCGCGTGCCCACTGGAGACGCTTCTTCTTGTTTTTAGCTGATAGGAGTGGAACCCGGTGTGGTCATCTGCTGCATTAGCACATCCGTGACAATGACTGACAAGTTTTGAGTTCTGAGATGCCGTTCTGCACACCACTGTTCTACTGCGCCATTATTTGCCTGTCTGTGGGCCGCCTGTCAGCTTGCACGATTCTTGCCATTCTTCTTTAACCTCTCTCATCAACAAGCTTTTTTCGCACCATTGTCGGTAAACCCTAGACACTGTTGTGCGTGAAAGCCCAGGAGGTCGGATGTTTCTGAGATACTGGAACCAGTCCGCCTGGCACCGGCAATCATACCACGCTTAAAGTTGCTTAGGTCACTCGTTTTGCCCATTTTATAACGTTCAATAGAACAATAACTGAATGTCTTGATGCCTGTTTATATAGCAAGCCACGGCCATGCCACTCACTGTCTGTAGGCGCAAACCATTTTCGTGAACAGGGTGGTGTACCTAATAAACTGGCCACTGAGTGTACACTACACTATTACATGGATACCTATGCAAAGGTAATGGTGTTCCCCAGACTATTACAGTAGAACCTCAGAGATACGAACTGACCAGTCAACCAAACTAGCAATTTAAGGCTACAGACAAACGTACAGTGCCTTCAGAAAGTATTCATACCCCCTTGACTTTTTCCACATTTTGTTGTTACAGCCTGAATTCAACATTGATTTTTATCACCCATCTACATACAATAATCCATAATGACAATGTTTTTATAAATTTTAGCAAATTTTATTGAAAATGAAATACAGAAATAACTCATTTACAAAATTATTCACATCCCTGAGTACTTTGTAGAAGCACCTTTGGCGGCGATTATAGCTTTGAGTCATCTGAATCAGTTTTGCAAATCTGGATTTGGGGATTTTCTCCTATTGTTCCTGGTAGATTTTCTCAAGCTCTGTTAAGTTAATGATGAGTGGCGCTGAACAGCAATCTTCAAGTGTTTCCACAGATTTTCAGTGGGATTCAAGTCTGGGCTTTGGCTGGGCCACTGACTTTCACATTCTTGTTCTGAAGCCATTCCAGCATTGCTTTGGCTGTATGCTTTGGGTCATTGTCCTGTTGGAACGTAAATCTTTGCCCCAGTCTAAGGTTGTTTGCATCTGAGGTAGGTTCTCATCAAGGATTTGCCTGTGTTTGGCTTTGTACATTGTTCCCTTACCAGTCTCCCAGTCCCTGCCGCTGAAAAGCTTCCCCATAGCATGATGCTGCCACCACCACGCTTCACAGTAGTGATGGTGTTAGACTGGTGATGAGCACCGCCTGGTTTTCTCCAGACATAGCGCTTTGCATTCAGGCCAAAGAGTTTTTGTCTCATCAGACCACAGAATATTTTGCCTTTGCTCTGTCTCTCACGTGTGCCTTTGTGCGAACTCCAACCGTGCAGTCATGTGCATTTTTCACAGGAGTGTCTTCCGTTTGGCCACTCTCCCATAAAGCCCAGATTGAAGTGCTGTAGAGACTGTTGTCCTTCTGGCAGGTTCTCCCATCACAGCGATGGAACTCTGTAGTTCTGTCAGAATGCTCATTGGGTTCTTGGTCACCTCCCTGACCAAGGTCCTTCTTGCCCAGTTGCTCAGTTTGGTCGGACGGCCAGCTCTAGGCAGTCTGGGTAGTTCCGTTTTCCCCCCATTTTTTCCATTTCCCAATGATTGAGCCACTGTGCTCTTAGAACCTTTCAACACTCTATAAATAGTTTTATACCCTTCCCCAGATATATGCCTCATCACAATTCTATCTCGAAGATCTACGGACAGTTCCCTGGACTTCATGGTATAGTTTCTGCTCTGACATGCACTGTCAACTGTGGGACCAGGTGTGTTTTCTTTCCAAATCATGTCCAAACAATTGAATTGGCCACAGGTGGACTCCAATCAAATTGTAGTGACATCTCAAGGATGATCAAAGGAAATTGGATGCACCTGAGCTCAATTTGGAGTGTCATAGCAAAGGGGTGTGAATACTTATGTAAATGAGATTTCTGTATTTAATTTTCAATACATTTGCAAACGTTTCAAAAAAAAATGTTTTCACTTTCTCATTATGGGGTATTGTGTGTAGATGGGTGGGGTGGGGTGGGGGGGGGGGGGGGGATATTTAATCCATTTACAATTCAGGCTTTAACACAACAAAATGTAGAAAAAACAAAGGGGTGTGAATACTTTCTGAAGACACTGTATCAAGTTATGGAAAATGTTTATCACTGAGATCCTTTTGTATTACATTAAATATGAAATGCCATGAAGAAATGTATGGACTGTTCTGTCCCATGTTGTCTCCAGGACTTGGGTCACGTGGGTTCTGGAGAGGCGGTAGACGAGGACGTCCCTCCCCCCACGGTGTCTCTGCCCAAACTGGCCGCCTTGCTGAGGGTGTTCAGCACCGTGGTGCGCTGCATCGGACAGCGCTTCAACCCCATCAGGGGACCGCCCATCACACAGGCATACGTCTCTGATGTAAGGAAACACACACACACTGAAACACACACACACACACACTGAAACACACACACACACACACTGAAACACACACACACACACTGAAACACACTGAAACACACACACACACACACACACACACACACTGAAACACACACACACACACACACACACTGAAACACACACACTGAAACACACAACACTGAAACACACACACACACTGAAACACCACACACCACTGAACACACTGACACACCAAAAAAACACACAACACACCTGAAACACACACACACACTGAAAACACAACACACCACTGAAACACACACACACACACTGAAAACCACACACGAACACCCACACACTGAAACACACACCACACACTGAAAACACACACACACACACACTGAAACACACACAACACACATGAAAACACACACACACACACTGAAACACACACACACACACACTGAAACACACACACACACACACACACAACTGAAACAACACACACTGAAAAACAACAACAATGAACAACACACAACACACACACTGAAACAACACACACACACACACTGAAACACACACACACACACACACTGAAACACACACCACACTGAAAACACACACACACACACACACTGAAAACACACACACACACACACACTGAAACACACACACACTGAAAAACACACACACAACACTGAAACACACACACACACCACACTGAAAACACACCACACAAACACACACACACTGAAACACACACACACCACGACACACACACAACGAAAAACACACAAACACACACACACACAATGAAACACACACTGAAACACACACACACTGAAACACACACTGAAACACACACACACAAACACACACTGAAACCAAACACACACACTGAAACACACACACACTGAAACAACACACACACACACACACACACACACAAGAAACACACACTGAAACACACACTGAAACACACACACACTGAAACACACACTGAAACACACACACACACACTGAAACACACACACACACACTGAAACACACACACACACACACATGAAACACACACACACACACACACACTGAAAACACACACACACACACACACACACTGAAACACAACACACACTGAAACAACACACACACACTGAAAACACACACCACACACACACAACTGAAACACACACACACACACACACCACTGAAACACACACACACACACACACACACTGAAACACACACACACACACACACTGAAACACACACACACACACACACACTGAAACACTCTGTAAGGAGAGACACACACACCCATCCGAGGCATTTTACTGATGTAAGGAGAGTGGGTGGGAGAGACCCAGACTCTGGTAATTAACAAGGCATATGTCACAGATATCATTTGTTCCCAACACAACCTTACCTCATCCCCCTCCTTCCTCCCTTACCCCAGGTTCTGAACCGGGTGCTGGCGTGTGTGTCGACGGCCAAGCAGGTGTTGTTCTCTGAGCCGGTTTTGACGGCGGGGAACGAGTGTGTGTGTGTCCTGCTGGTGAGCTTGGAGCCGTCCGCACGGCTGACCGACGCTGTCATCACCTACGGCCTGGACCAGCTGGACGCCTGCCGGGCCTGTGGCCCAGAGTACAGCCTGGCTGTCCTCAGCCTCATCACATTGGTAAGAACCGGTTCTAAAACTGGTTTACATACAGGTTAGAACTAGTTTATGCTGGTTAGAACTGGTTTAAACCAGTTTGGAAGAATGTTCCCTCAAACTGAGCAAATTTCATGTTTTGTGAGCGGAAACTTGAATGTTGCGTCAATGTAGGCCAACATTTTGAGACTTTTTAAAAACATTATGCATTGCATTATAAATGGCTGCCCGAATGCAGAGAACTGGTTGGTCATTCAACGTTTGCCTCTCTGCTTCTAATGGTCTCTTCTCTCTGTGTGGTAGATCGTGGACCAGATCAACACTAAGCTTCCAGCCTGGTTTGTGGAGAAGCTGCTGGCACCGACGTCACAGCTCCTGGAGCTACGCTTCAACAGGGACAGAGAGGTGTGTGTGTTAGGGATGTGACAAATGGAAACATTTTCTTAACGTTTAAATTGCTGTTTAAAAAAAAAAGTCATTTTTCTGTTAAAACGATTTTTAAAAAATGCTTAAAATGTCATGTGTATTCACAATGCAGAATATGGTAATATTGGGTACGACAGTCCTATTGGGTGGGTGCTAGGGGGCAATGAAGTTCCATCTACCACAGTCATAGGCTGAATCTCAAACCCCAACACTTGGCCCCTAAGCCCTTTATCGAGTGGCCACTTGCTGTTGCGTTAGATAGTGATCACTTGAGTCCGCAAGTGTTTTGCCAAATGGAGCGTTGAGACGATGCACACTCAATATTCCAACTCCCACTTATCAATATTCTAAATCCAGTCTTGCACATGACTCATTGCTATGAAACACAGGCACTGGGACAGACTCTGATAGACAGGGAAGAAGTTGTAAAAACTGCCTGCTGCTAGCTAGCTTCACTGACAAACACAGGGATGGAATGTTCGCTAGCTAGCTAAGGATGTTGGGCACTGCACTGATAAACAGCATGTAGCTAGCTAGCTAAGGATGTTGGGCACTGCACTGATAAACAGCATGTAGCTAGCTAGCTAAGGATGTTGGGCACTGCACTGATAAACAGCATGTAGCTAGCTAGCTAAGGATGTTGGGCACTGCACTGATAAACAGCATGTAGCTAGCTAGCTAAGGATGTTGGGCACTGCACTGATAAACAGCATGTAGCTAGCTAGCTAAGGATGTTGGGCACTGCACTGATAAACAGCATGTAGCTAGCTAGCTGAGGATGTTGGGCACTGCACTGATAAACAGCCATGTAGCTAGCTAGCTAAGGATGTTGGGCACTGCACTGATAAACAGCATGTAGCTAGCTAGCTAAGGATGTTGGGCACTGCACTGATAAACAGCATGTAGCTAGCTAGCTGAGGATGTTGGGCACTGCACTGATAAACAGCATGTAGCTAGCTAGCTGAGGATGTTGGGCACTGCACTGATAAACAAGCATGTAGCTAGCTCGCTAAGGATGTTGGGGCACTGCACTGATAAACAGCATGTAGCTAGCTAGCTAAGGATGTTGGGCACTGCACTGATAAACAGCATGTAGCTAGCTAGCTGAGGATGTTGGGCACTGCACCTGATAAACAGCATTAGCTAGCTAGTAAGGATGTTGGGCACTGCACTGATAAACAGCATGTAGCTCGTCACTTATTTAGGATAGTTTGACAGCTTGCTGATGAAGTTGTAGACATGTTTCCAGCAGGCGGTCCATACTAGACATGTTCCCAGCAGGCGGTCCATACTAGACATGTTTCCAGCAGGCGGTCCATACTAGACATGTTTCCAGCAGGCGGTCCATACTAGACATGTTTCCAGCAGGCGGTCCATACTAGACATGGTTTCCAGCAGGCGGTCCAACTGACATGTTTCCAGCAGGCGGTCCATACTAGACATGTTTCCACAGGCGGTCCATACTAGACATGTTTCCAGCAGGCGGTCCATACTAGAATGTTTCCAAGCAGGCGGTCCATACTAGACATGTTCCACAGGCGGGTTTCCCTACTAGACATGTTCCCAGCAGGCGGTCCATAACTAGACATGTTCCAGCAGGCGGTCCATACTAGAAATGTTCCAGCAGGCGGTCCATACTAGACATGTTTCCAGCAGGCGGTCCATACTAGACATGTTTCCAGCAGGCGGTCCATACTAGACATGTTTCCAGCAGGCGGTCCATACTAGACATGTTTCCAGCAGGCGGTCCATACTAGACATGTTTCCAGCAGGCTGAGTCCATTACTAGACATGTTCCCCAGCAGGCGGTCCCATACTAGACATGTTCCCAGCAGGCGGTCAGTACTAGACATTGTTCCCAGCAGGCGGTCCGTACTTAGACATGTTCCCAGCAGGCGGTCCAGTACTAGACATGTTCCCAGCAGGCGGTCCGTACTAGACATGTTCCCCAGCAGGCGGTCCATATAGACATGTTTCCAGCAGGCGGTCCGTATCCTAGACATGTTTCCCAGCAGGCGGGTCGTACTAGACATGTTCCCAGCAGGCGGTTCCGTACTAGGACATGTTTCCAGCAGGCGGTTCCGTACTAGACATGTTTCCCAGCAGGCGGTCCCGTACTAGACATGTTTCCCGCAGGCGGTCCGTTACTAGAAATGTTCCCAGCAGGCGGTCCGTACTAGACATGTTCCCAAACAGGCGGTCCGTACTAGACAGTTCCCAGCAGGGGGTCCGTATAGAATGTTCCCAGCAGGCGGTCCGTACTAGACATGTTCCCAGCAGGCGGTCCGTACTAGACATGTTCCCAGCAGGCGGTCCGTACTAGACATGTTCCCAGCAGGCGGTCCGTACTAGACATGTTCCCAGCAGGCGGTCCGTACTAGACATGTTTCCAGCAGGCGGTCCGTACTAGACATGTTTCCAGCAGGCGGTCCGTACTAGACATGTTTCCAGCAGGCGGTCCATACTAGACATGTTTCCAGCAGGCGGTCCGTACTAGACATGTTTCCAGCAGGCGGTCCATACTTAAGTACGTTACTAAAGCACCAATCACTACATTGTAACGTTGGGTCAGGTAAAAGCGCAGCAGCAGACTCCATTTGTATAAAAAAAATTACAATATTTTAGGGATTTTTTTTCTTAACTTGCCAGTTTCTTTTTAACGTTTTAAATGTTCGCACCCCTAGTGTGTGTGTGTGTGTGACCAGGTTTATAGAGGTGTAAATTTGTGGGTGCTTGAAACCACCTAATTGAAATGGGAAGAGCGGTGTGTATGCCTCCGATTCAGATTGGGAGAACGTAATGTCAGGTGTGTTTCTGTTAGGGTTATGGGGAAGTTGTGTTTCTGTTAGGGGGAAGTTGTGTTTCTGTTAGGGTTAGGGGGAAGTTGTGTTTCTGTTAGGGGGAAGTTGTGTTTCTGTTAGGGTTAGGGGGAAGTTGTGTTTCTGTTAGGGGGAAGTTGTGTTTCTGTTAGGGTTAGGGGGAAGTTGTGTTTCTGTTAGGGTTAGGGGGAAGTTGTGTTTCTGTTAGGGGGAAGTTGTGTTTCTGTTAGGGTTAGGGAGAAGGTGTGTTTCTGTTAGGGTTAGGGGGAAGTTGTGTTTCTGTTAGGGTTAGGGGGAAGTTGTGTTTCTGTTAGGGTTATGGGGAAGTTGTGTTTCTGTTAGGGTTATGGGGAAGTTGTTTCTGTTAGGGTTAGGGGGGAAGTTGTGTTTCTGTTAGGGGGAAGTTGTGTTTCTGTTAGGGGGAAGTTGTGTTTCTGTTAGGGTTATGGGGAAGTTGTGTTTCTGTTAGGGTTATGGGGAAGTTGTGTTTCTGTTAGGGTTATGGGGAAGTTGTGTTTCTGTTAGGGTTATGGGGAAGTTGTGTTTCTGTTAGGGTTAGGGGGAAGTTGTGTTTCTGTTAGGGTTATGGGGAAGTTGTGTTTCTGTTAGGGTTAGGGGGAAGTTGTGTTTCTGTTAGGGGGAAGTTGTGTTTCTGTTAGGGGGAAGTTGTGTTTCTGTTAGGGTTAGGTGGAAGTTGTGTTTCTGTTAGGGTTAGGGGGAAGTTGTGTTTCTGTTAGGGTTAGGGGGAAGTTGTGTTTCTGTTAGGGGGAAGTTGTGTTTCTGTTAGGGTTAGGGGGAAGTTGTGTTTCTGTTAGGTGGAGGTAGGGCTGTTGCGGTGACCGTATTAACGCCACACCGACAGTCATGACCGCAGTAAGATACCACGTGACTGAGTCACGGTTATCTCCTCTTATGTGCTCTGGACATGCTTTGGTAGTGCCCAACTTCCTAACTGCCATCGGGTCCTAATGGCCTCGTCCTCAGGGCTCTATTGTCCCTCTAACCACTCTGACGTCAAGGCAAACGCAATGGAAATCACATCAAACGCTCATCAAAACAGTATCGTGCTTTTTTAAAAACTCAGCTCACTGTGATTGATCCATTTGAAGAAAGAAGTTCAACAGCAGGTTGAAACTGAGTGGGAAAACATGGTCGTTGTGGATGTTGCTTCAAAGCCTAACACAATGAAATGGACAGCGCTTTCTAAGGTGATGATTAATTCAAAACGCATATGCATATTAGAGCTTATGTATGTGTTTCAATAGTCTGTAGTCGCATCGTGCAGCCCGAATGTGTTTTGAAAACATTCTAATGTTTGTATCATTCACTACTAAAGTTGCCAAATAACTCTAAATGTAGGATATTATAGGACCTGTTTCAAATGATCACTTTTACGTTCAACATGGCCACTTCATATGAGCACTCGCTCTGGAATGTGAAAAATATCCTTTCTATTTTATTCAACAAGTAAAGTTATATTCTTCTAACTATGAAATAATATAAATAATGGCATGAGATTTATAGGCCTATCTTGTCTGCTTAATGAACAAGCCTACAGCCTATGGCACGGAGCATAGAGAGATAACATACAGTATTCCACTCATATTCTGTTCTTCAGAAATACATTTTCTTTAGACCCGCCTAAAATAAATAATGGATTTATTGTGATGGTTATTATTAAATTGATTTTATTAAACTTTTTAAAATATAGATGTTCCAAAGGTGCGCATCAGCGGCTTGTATGCAGCTGACATTTCATGACCGCCACAGCCTGAGGTGGAAGGTGTGTCTCTGTCTGTTAAGGTTAGGTGGAAGATGTTTCTGTCTGTTAGGGTTAGGTGGAAGATGTGTTTCTGTCTGTTAGGGTTAGGTGGAAGGTGTCTCTGTCTGTTAGGGTTAGGTGGAAGGTGTCTCTGTCTGTTAGGGTTAGGTGGAAGGTGTGTCTCTGTCTGTTAGGGTTAGGTGGAAGGTGTTTCTGTCTGTTAGGGTTAGGTGGAAGGTGTCTCTGTCTGTTAGGGTTAGGTGGAAGGTGTCTCTGTCTGTTAGGGTTAGGTGGAAGGTGTCTCTGTCTGTTAGGGTTAGGTGGAAGGTGTCTCTGTCTGTTAGGGTTAGGTGGAAGGTGTTTCTGTCTGTTAGGGTTAGGTGGAAGGTGTCTGTCTGTTAGGGTTAGGTGGAAGGTGTGTCTCTGTCTGTTAGGGTTAGGTGGAAGGTGTGTCTCTGTCTGTTAGGGTTAGGTGGAAGGTGTCTCTGTCTGTTAGGGTTAGGTGGAAGGTGTCTCTGTCTGTTAGGGTTAGGTGGAAGGTGTTTCTGTCTGTTAGGGTTAGGTGGAAGGTGTTTCTGTCTGTTAGGGTTAGGTGGAAGGTGTTTCTGTCTGTTAGGGTTAGGTGGAAGGTGTTTCTGTCTGTTAGGGTTAGGTGGAAGGTGTCTCTGTCTGTTAGGGTTAGGTGGAAGGTTGTTTCTGTCTGTTAGGGTTAGGTGGAAGGTGTTTCTGTCTGTTAGGGTTAGGTGGAAGATGTGTTTCTGTCTGTTAGGGTTAGGTGGAAGATGTTTCTGTCTGTTAGGGTTAGGTGGAAGATGTGTTTCTGTCTGTTAGGGTTAGGTGGAAGGTGTCTCTGTCTGTTAGGGTTAGGTGGAAGGTGTCTCTGTCTGTTAGGGTTAGGTGGAAGGTGTTTCTGTCTGTTAGGGTTAGGTGGAAGGTGTTTCTGTCTGTTAGGGTTAGGTGGAAGGTGTTTCTGTCTGTTAGGGTTAGGTGGAAGGTGTTTCTGTCTGTTAGGGTTAGGTGGAAGGTGTCTCTGTCTGTTAGGGTTAGGTGGAAGGTGTTTCTGTCTGTTAGGGTTAGGTGGAAGATGTGTTTCTGTCTGTTAGGGTTAGGTGGAAGATGTTTCTGTCTGTTAGGGTTAGGTGGAAGATGTGTTTCTGTCTGTTAGGGTTAGGTGGAAGGTGTCTCTGTCTGTTAGGGTTAGGTGGAAGGTGTCTCTGTCTGTTAGGGTTAGGTGGAAGGTGTTTCTGTCTGTTAGGGTTAGGTGGAAGGTGTTTCTGTCTGTTAGGGTTAGGTGGAAGGTGTTTCTGTCTGTTAGGGTTAGGTGGAAGGTGTCTCTGTCTGTTAGGGTTAGGTGGAAGGTGTTTCTGTCTGTTAGGGTTAGGTGGAAGGTGTTTCTGTCTGTTAGGGTTAGGTGGAAGGTGTGTCTGAGGGTTAGGTGGAAGGTGTGTTTCTGTGTGTTTGCGGCTTTCTATAACCATGTTAGTATGACAATTCTATTGAAAACAAAACCGATCAGAAAGGTTGAATGGAAACTGTTAAGACATGTTTTTACTGGGTGTGTCCGGCCGTCTCTGTGTGTGTCTGTCTTTCTCTGTGGTCTGTATCCATGTGTCTTCACTGATCCCCTCTGCTCTCTGTCTCTCTCTTTCTCGCCAGGTGATGTCAGCAGCCCTGGGTGTGTACCAGTCCGTTTTGAGCCTAAAGAACATTCCCATTCTGGAAGCAGCTTATAAACTGGTTCTGGGAGAGATGGCCTGTGCCCTGTCCAGTCTGCTGGCCCCCCTGGACCTCCCCCCAACCCCCTTCCCCGGCATCCAGCACCCTGTCTTCGCCCCCCTCACCCTCACCCCTGAGAGGGCAGAGTTCACCCTCATCTTCAACCTGTCAGCCCTCACCACCATCGGCAACACCAAGAACTCACTCATAGGGGTATGTTACGTAACACACCCACTGCACCACCATCAGCAACACCAAGTAACATGACTGAACTGGACCTTAAAATGTACCTCTGCTCTGCCCCTCTCTCTGTCTCTGTCTCGCTCTCGCTCTTTCTCTCTCTGTCGCTCTCGCTCTTTCTCTCTCTGTCGCTCTCGCTCTTTCTCTCTCTGTCGCTCTCGCTCTTTCTCTCTCTGTCGCTCTCGCTCTTTCTCTCTCTGTCGCTCTCGCTCTTTCTCTCTCTGTCGCTCTCGCTCTTTCTCTCTCTGTCGCTCTCGCTCTTTCTCTCTCTGTCGCTCTCGCTCTTTCTCTCTCTGTCGCTCTCGCTCTTTCTTCTCTGTCGCTCTCGCTCTTTCTCTCTCTGTCGCTCTCGCTCTTTCGCTCTTTCTCTCTCTGTCGCTCTCTCTCTCTCGCTCTCTGTCTCTCGCTCTCTGTCTCTCTCTCTCTCTCTGTCTCTGTCTCTCTGTAGATGTGGGCTCTGTCTCCGACGGTGTTTGCGTTGTTGAGTCAGAACCTGATGTTGGTCCACTCTGACCTGGCCGTCTACCACCCTGCCGTACAATACACTGTGTTATACACCCTATACTCACACTGTACCAGGTAACTAACACACACTACCACCCTGCTGTACAATACACTGTTATATACCCTATACTCACACTGTACCAGGTAACTAACACACACTACCACCCTGCCGTACAATACACTGTTATATACCCTATACTCACACTGTACCAGGTAACTAACACACTACCACCCTGCCGTACAATACACTGTTATATACCCTATACTCACACTGTACCAGGTAACTAACACACTACCACCCTGCCGTACAATACACTGTTATACACCCTATACTCACACTGTACCAGGTAACTAACACACTACCACCCTGCTGTACAATACACTGTTATATACCCTATACTCACACTGTACCAGGTAACTAACACACACTACCACCCTGCTGTACAATACACTGTTATATACCCTATACTCACACTGTACCAGGTAACTAACACACTACCACCCTGCCGTACAATACACTGTTATATACCCTATACTCACACTGTACCAGGTAACTAACACACTACCACCCTGCCGTACAATACACTGTTATATACCCTATACTCACACTGTACCAGGTAACTAACACGCACTACCACCCTGCTGTACAATACACTGTTATATACCCTATACTCACACTGTACCAGGTAACTAACACACACTACCACCCTGCCGTACAATACACTGTTATATACCCTATACTCACACTGTACCAGGTAACTAACACACTACCACCCTGCCGTACAATACACTGTTATATACCCTATACTCACACTGTACCAGGTAACTAACACACTACCACCCTGCCGTACAATACACTGTTATACACCCTATACTCACACTGTACCAGGTAACTAACACCACACTACCACCCTGCCGTACAATACACTGTTATACACCCTATACTCACACTGTACCAGGTAACTAACCACACACTACCACCCTGCCGTACAATACACTGTTATATACCCTATACTCACCACTGTACCAGGTAACTAACACACTACCACCCTGCCGTACAATACACTGTTATATACCCTATACTCACACTGTACCAGGTAACTAACACACACTACCACCCTGCCGTACAATACACTGTGTTATACACCCTATACTCACACTGTACCAGGTAACTAACACACACTACCACCCTGCCGTACAATACACTGTGTTATACACCCTATACTCACACTGTACCAGGTAAACTAACACACTACCACCCTGCCGTACAATACACATGTTATATACCCTATACTCACACTGTACCAGGTAACTAACACAATACCACCCCTGCCGTACAATACACTGTATATTACCCTATACTCACACTGTACCAGGTAACTAACACACTACCTCTCTCCCTCTCTCGCTGTCTCTCTCTCCCTCTCTCGCTGTCTCTCTCTCCCTCTCTCGCCTGTCTCTCTCTCGCTGTCTCCTCTCTCGCTGTCTCTCTCTCGCTCGTCTCTCTCTCGCTGTCTCTCTCTCGCTGTCTCTCTCTCGCTGTCTCTCTCTCGCTGTCTCTCTCTCGCTGTCTCGCTGTCTCTCTCTCGCTGTCTCGCTGTCTCTCTCTCCCTCTCTCGCTGTCTCCTTCCTCTCTCGCTTCTTCTCCTTCGCTGTCTCTCTCTCCCTCTCTCGCTGTCTCTCTCTCCCTCTCTCGCTGTCTTCTCTCCCTCTCTCGCTGTCTCTCGTCTCCCTCTATCGCTGTCTCTCTCTCCCTCTCTCGCTGTCTCTCTCTCGCCCTCTCTCGCTGTCTCTCTCGCCCTCTCTCGCTGTCTCTCTCTCCCTCTCTCGCTGTCTCTCTCTCCCTCTCGCTGTCTCTCTCTCCCTCTCTCGATGTCTCTCTCTCCCCTCTCTCGCTGTCTCTCTCTCCTCTCTCGCTGTCTCTCTCTCCCTCTCTCGCTGTCTCTCTCTCCCTCTCTCGCTGTCTCTCTCTCCCTCTCTCGCTGTCTCTCTCTCCCTCTCTCGCTGTCTCTCTCTCCTCTCTCGCTGTCTCTCTCGCTGTCTCTGTCTCGCTGTCTCTGTCTCGCTGTCTCTCTCTCCCCCTCCCGCTCTCTCCCTCCCTCTGTTCTTCAGACATGACCACTTCATCTCGTCCAGCCTGTCCTCCTCCTCCCCCTCTCTCTTTGACGGCGCGGTCATCAGCACAGTAACCACGGCAACCAGGAAACACTTCAGCACTCTGCTGTCCCTGCTGGGGACCCTGCTGAGGAAGGAGCACCTCTACACTGAGGCCAGGTGCACACACTATACATTACACACACACACACACACACACACACACACACAACACAACACAGAGACATACACACACCACACACACACACACAAAACACACACGATAAATACAAAACACCACATACATGACACACACACACACACACCTATACAATTACACACACACAACAGACACACACACACAACACACTACATACACACAAAAAACACAACACACTACAATACAGACACCACACACACCCCAACTAAGACATACAACACACACACACCACACAAGAACACACACACACGAACAGACTTACACACACACACACTAGGACAACACACACCCACACTAACATACACACACACACACACACAACACACACACACACACACCACACAGACACACACAACACACCACACACACACACACACACACACCACCACGATACATTACACAACACACAAAACACACAACACATTCACACACACAGGATACAGGACACAACAACCACACACACACACACACACACACACACACACACACACACACACACGCACAGAGACATTACACACACACACGATGCACACCCACAGTGATACATACACGCACACTAGACATGACACACCCCACACACACAGTACAGTACACACACACACACGACAGACACACACACACACGAGACAGGACACACACACCCCACGAGACAGGACACACACACCAACACTATACATACACAAAACACACACACACAACACACTATACATTACACACACACACACTATACATTACACACACACACACATACATTACAACACCCCAACACCCACACACACACACACTATACATTACACACACACACTATACATTACACACACACACACACACACACACACACACACACTATACATTACACACACACACACACAACACACACACACACACACGCACACTATACATTACACACACACACACACACACACACTATTCACACACACATTATACATTACACACACACCACACACACAACACACGCACACTATACATTACACACACACACACACACTATTCACACACACATTATACATTACACGCACACTATACATTACACACACACACACTATACATTACACACACACACTTTACATTACACACACACAGGTGTAGTTGAACGATAACCTAACCTAGTTCGTGTGTGTGTCTGCTACAAACAGGAAGCTGTTGTTGACGTGGTCTCTGGAGATGTGTCTGATGATGAAGAAGTCTGATACCTACACCCCTCTCTTCTCCCTGCCCTCCTTCCACAAGTTCTGCAGGGTCTGCTCCACAACGGTAACTACTGTTTAACATAGAAAGGGTCTGCTCCACAAACGGTAAATACTGTTTAAAAACTATAGAAAGGGTCTGCTCCACAACGGTAAATACTGTTTAACTATAGAAAGGGTCTGCTCCACAACGGTCAAATACTGTTTAACTATAGGAAAGGGTACTGCTCCACAACGGTAACTACTGTTTAACTATAGAAAGGGTCTGCTCCACAACGGTAATACTGTTTAACTATAGAAAGGGTCTGCTCCACAACGGTAAATACTGTTTAACATAGATAAGGGTCTGCTCCACAACGTAAATACTGTTTTAACTATAGAAAGGGTCTGCTCCCACAACGGTAAATACTGTTTAACTATAGAAAGGGTCTGCCCACAACGGTAAATACTGTTTAACTATAGAAAGGGTCTGCTCCACAACGGTAAATACTGTTAACCTATAGAAAGGGTCTGCTCCACAACGGTAAATACTGTTTAACTATAGAAAGGGTCTGCCCCACAACGGTAAATACTGTTTAACTATAGAAAGGGTCTGCCCTCCCCAACGGTAAATATGTTAACTAGAGAAAGGGCGCCCACAACGGTAAATACTGTTTAACTATAGAAAGGGTCTGCTCCCACAACGGTAAATACTGTTTAACTATAGAAAGGGTCTGCCTCCACAACGGTAAATACTGTTTAACTATAGAAAGGGTCTGCTCCACAACGGTAAATACTGTTTAAACTATAGAAAGGGTCTGCTCCACAACGGTTAAATACTGTTTAACTATAGAAAGGGTCTGCTCCACAACGGTAAATACTGGTTTAACTATAGAAAGGGTCTGCTCCACAACGGTAAATACTGTTTAACTATAGAAAGGGTCTGCTCCACAACGGTAAATACTGTTTAACTATAGAAAGGGTCTGCTCCACAACGGTAAATACTGTTTAACTATAGAAAGGGTCTGCTCCACAACGGTAAATACTGTTTAACTATAGAAAGGGTCTGCTCCACAACGGTTAAATACTGTTTAACTATAGAAAGGGTCTGCTCCACAACGGTAAATACTGTTTATCTATAGAAAGGGTCTGCTCCACAACGGTAAATACTGTTTAACTATAGAAAGGGTCTGCCCCACAACGGTAAATACTGTTTAACTATAGAAAGGGTCTGCTCCACAACGGTAAATACTGTTTAACTATAGAAAGGGTCTGCCCCACAACGGTAAATACTGTTTAACTATAGAAAGGGTCTGCTCCACAACGGTAAATACTGTTTAACTATAGAAAGGGTCTGCTCCACAACAGTAAATACTGTTTAACTATAGAAAGGGTCTGCCCCACAACGGTAAATACTGTTTAACTATAGAAAGGGTCTGCTCCACAACGGTAAATACTGTTTAACTATAGAAAGGGTCTGCCCCACAACGGTAAATACTGTTTAACTATAGAAAGGGTCTGCTCCACAACGGTAACTACTGTTTAACTATAGAAAGGGTCTGCTCCACAACGGTAAATACTGTTTAACTATAGAAAGGGTTGCTAAATTCTGATTGATTCTGGGAATCTTCCAACCAGGATTTTCGGGAAAACCGGTTTTCGTTTTTCCTGATTTCTGCAGTGTGTGTGTGTGTGTGTATTCCTGCTGTGTGTGTGTATTCCTGCTGTGTGTGTGTAATCCTGCTGTGTGTGTGTGTGTGTGTGTGTTCTCTGTCGGTCTGCAGCCCTGAATGAGGACCCAGTCATCTGCCTCCAGACCTGCAACAGCCTACAAGTCCTCTCCTCCTCACTCAACACAGAGCTGCTGCAGAGGTAACACACACCTGCAACACACACACACACCTCCACCTCAAAACAACCCCTTATACAGAAAAGCAGAAACCCAAACGTGTGTAATGTTGTCTCTGTCCTGTGCCTCCCAGGTGTGTGGATGTGTGTCGTGTCCAGCTGGTGCACTCTGCGGTGAGGGTGAGGCAGGCGTACGGCAAGCTGCTGAGGACAATCCCTCTGGACGTGACGCTCAGGTCAGCACACAACACACCGAACACCCTCCTCTTTCCTCAGTGACTGACTGGGACTCCTCCAAGGCCAGGACTCTATCAGTGACTGACTGGGACTCCACTAAGGCCAGGACTCTATCAGTGACTGACTGGGACTCCACTAAGGCCAGGACTCTATCAGTAACCTTAATGTCTGTGTCCCTACAGTAACCACAGCCACCCAGAGATAGAGGAGATCTCCCTGGTGGTCCGTCGCCACATGAACCACCCCCCCAGCAGCACCTTTCACCCCCAGGACTTCAGTGACCTCATCAGCTTCATCCTGTATGGCAGCCTGCATCGTGGAGGGTATGCTCCTTGGCTCTGTGTGTGTGGGGGGGGGGGGGCTGACCTGTGTGTCATCTGCTAACGTGGGTCCCGTGCGGCTCAGTTGGTAGAGCGTGGTGCTTGCAACGGCAGGGTTGTGGGTTGGGTTCGATTCCCACGGGTTACCAGTATGGGGTGGGGGTATGAAAATGTATGCGGGCACTACTGTAAGTCACTCAGGATAAGAGCGTCTGCTAAATGACAATGTAAATGTGTCATCTGCTAACGTGTGCTGATATCTGTTAACCTGTGTGTGTCTGTGTGTTTATCTGTTAACCTATGTGTGTCTGTGTGTGTCTCTCCCTACAGTAAAGAGCCGTGGCTGGAGCGTCTGTACCACAGCTGTCAGCGTCTGGAGAAGCGTGAGGGTGGTGGTGGCTCATCAGGTGGTGAAGGGGGGGTGTGTGGCTCCGGCCCGGGTGGGAGTGCGTGTGTACCACGGGGTCTGCTGAAGACGGAGGCGGTGCTGTGGCAGTGGGCGGTGTGGGAGGCAGCTCAGTTCACCGTGTTGTCTAAACTCCGCACCCCGCTGGGACGGGCACAGGACACCTTCCAGACCATAGAGGGTAAGGGCTGTTACGCAGGCACCAAAACTCACGTTCACTCACTAAAACTCACAAAAACACTCAGTCCAGGGTTTTCCCCCATTATGTTTTTTAACACGGTGTTGCTGATCAGGTGGGGGAGGCCTGGAGTGGGGTTTTTTTTTGCGTTTCTGAACCCCTGTAGCTGCACCCCTGTAGCTGAACCCCTGTAGCTGCCATTTCCTGCAATTTAGTGTCTTAAACCAGGGGTGTCAAACTAATTTTGCCCCGTGGGCCGCATTCAGTATTCAGCATGGTCCGCAGGGCTGCTCTGAAAATGGGTTATATTTCCTTTTTCAATGCTCCCTGACTGTCTAGCTTTCGTGTCGGTGATCAGTCTATTGGCGAGCTGGACAGTCAAGAAACTGTATGACTATAGGTCCATTATCATTTCTACACAGTTTCCATTTGGTGGTAGTAATTTTAATGTATATTAAGCGTCCCCCCCACAATAACTCAAACACTACTATCGCCTATCCAAGCCAATCCAAGCCTATACACATTTTGGATGTACATGTTGCCTCTTTCAAGAACATATTCTTTGCTCCCTCCCTCCCTCCCTCCCTCCAGGTATGATCCGCAGCCTGGCGGCCCACAGTATGAACACGGAACAGGAGCTTAGCCAATGGAGCGCCGGCGACACGGACGACGGTCACCATAGCAACCAGCTGCGTCTGGCGCTGCTCTTGCAGTTCCTGGAAAACCTGGAGAAACTGATGTACAACGCCTACGAGGGCTGTGCCAACGCTCTGACCGCACCGCCCAAGGTGCGCACACGCTATAGCATCTGATAAATATGTGGCGGCGGGTAGCTTAGTGGTTAAGAGCGTTGTGCCAGTGACCGAAAGGTCGCTGGTTGTAATCCCCGAGCCAACTAGGTGAAAAATCTGTCGATGTGCCCTTGAGCAAGGCACTTAACCCTAATTGCTCCTGTAAGTCGCTCTGGATAAGAGCGTCTGCTAAATGACACAATTTCTTTTTTTAATTTTGACACCCACACCTATACCTGGAGAAACTGATGTACAGCTCTGACGAGGGCTGTGCCAACTGACTGACCACACCGCCCAAGACACACACACACACACACACAGCCCCAAGTGCCCCCCCAGCTCCTTATGTTAACTATCTCTCTCTCTTTCCCTCCCCCTCTTCTCTCTCTCTCTCTCCCTCCCTCCGTATCCAGGGTATCAGAACATTCTTCTATACCAACCGTCAGACCTGCCAGGATTGGCTGACTCGTATCCGCTGGCCCTGATGAGGGTTGGGGCTTCTGTACCGGCCAACCAGCAGTCACCGTCCGCCACGGCTTCGACCTGCTCACTGAGATCAAGAACAGCAGCACTCCGGTAACAGGAGGAAGAACACACAGTCCTAATCCCAATATAGTGCACTACCTTAGACCAGAGCCCAGACCAGACCATACAGATAAACACACTCAGCATCACCCGGTTCAACAGTCGTTTTCAACCCATGACCCCTTTACCAGAAGTTGCTAAATACATCACCTGTAACTGACCCCCCATGTCTCCTCTCTGGTAGGGTCCAGATCTCTTCTGGTCACCTGTAACTGACCCCCCATGTCCTCCCTCTCGTAGGTGTCCAGATCTCTTCTGGTCACCTGTAACTGACCCCCCCCATGTACCGCTCATCTTGTAGGGTCCAGATCTCTTCTGGTCACCTGTAACTGACCCCCCATGGCTCCTTCTGTAGGGTCCAGATCTCTTCTGGGTCACCTATAAACTGACCCCCCCATGTTCCTCTCTGTAGGGTCCCAGATCTCTTCTGGTCACCTGTAAACTGACCCCCCCCATGTCTCCCTTCTGTAGGGTCCAGGTCTCTTCTGGTCACCTGTAACTGACCCCCCATGGTCTCCTCTCTGTGGGTCCAGAGTTGGAGGCTCCTCTGGTGATTGCTGGTGGAGGCTCTTGTGTGAAACTTCACTGTCCTGAGGCTATCCAGGGTTTGGCTGCCTGGAGTCTCACCAACACTGGCAAGAGTCTGGCTTGGGTCAGCTCTGTGGCACTGCAGGCAGAGGGCCGGTAAGGAAACATCCCTGTGTGTGGAAGTGGAGGCCACTCTTGGGTTTCAAACCAAGCTTAGCATCTTAAAGGGGCAATTCTTAAAGAATATGGCTTATAAATGCCTCCATGAGCGTTAATTCCTCCTGCCGTACCCCATCAGAACCCAAAATACAAGCTTGTTTTACACAAATGTTTTGAAACAAAGTAAATGTAAACAAACACTATATAGCTTCACCATGGTTACAACTAGAATGTTGCTCTGATGTCATGGATGGTTACAACTAGAATGTTGCTCTATGATGTCATGGATGATTACAACTAGAATGTTGCTCTATATAATGTCATGGATGGTTACAACTAGAATGTTGCTCTATGATGTCATGGATGGTTACAACTAGAATGTTGCTCTAGAATGTCATGGATGGTTACAACTAGAATGTTGCTCTATGATATCATGGATGATTACAACTAGAATGTTGCTCTATGATGTCATGGATGGTTACAACAGAATGTTGCTCTATGATGTCATGGATGATTACAACTAGAATGTTGCTCTATGATGTCATGGATGGTTACAACTAGAATGTTGCTCTATATAATGTCATGGATGGTTACAACTAGAATGTTGCTCTAGAATGTCATGGATGGTTACAACTAGAATGTTGCTCTAGGATGTCATGGATGGTTACAACTAGAATGTTGCTCTAGGATGTCATGGATGGTTACAACTAGAATGTTGCTCTATGATGTCATGGATGGTTACAACTAGAATGTTGCTCTAGAATGTCATGGATGGTTACAACTAGAATGTTGCTCTATGATGTCATGGATGATTACAACTAGAATGTTGCTCTATGATGTCATGGATGGTTACAACTAGAATGTTGCTCTATGATGTCATGGATGGTTACAACTAGAATGTTGCTCTATGATGTCATGGATGGTTACAACTAGAATGTTGCTCTATGATGTCATGGATGGTTACAACTAGAATGTTGCTCTAGAATGTCATGGATGGTTACAACTAGAATGTTGCTCTAGAATGTCATGGATGGTTACAACTAGAATGTTGCTCTATGATGTCATGGATGATTACAACTAGAATGTTGCTCTATGATGTCATGGATGATTACAACTAGAATGTTGCTCTATGATGTCATGGATGGTTACAACAGAATGTTGCTCTATGATGTCATGGATGATTACAACTAGAATGTCATGGATGATTACAACTAGAATGTTGCTCTATAATGTCATGGATGGTTACAACTAGAATGTTGCTCTATGATGTCATGGATGGTTACAACTAGATGTTGCTCTAGAATGTCATGGATGGTTACAACTAGAATGTTTGCTCTAGGATGTCATGGGATGGTTACAACTAGAATGTTTGCTCTATGATGTCATGGATGGTTACAACTAGAATGTTGCTCTAGAATGTCATGGATGGTTACAACTAGAATGTTGACTCTTATGATGTCATGGATGGTTACAACTAGATGTTGCTCTATGATGTCATGGATGGTTACAACTAGAATGTTGCTTTATGTCATGGATGATTACAACTAGAATGTTGCTTTATGATGTCATGGATGATTACAACTAGAATGTTGCTCTATGATGTCATGGATGGTTACAACTAGAATGTTGCTCTATGATGTCATGGATGGTTACAACTAGAATGTTGCTCTATGATGTCATGGATGGTTACAACTAGAATGTTGCTCTAGAATGTCATGGATGGTTACAACTAGAATGTTGCTCTAGAATGTCATGGATGGTTACAACTAGAATGTTGCTCTATGATATCATGGATGATTACAACTAGAATGTTGCTCTATGATGTCATGGATGGTTACAACAGAATGTTGCTCTATGATGTCATGGATGATTACAACTAGAATGTTGCTCTATGATGTCATGGATGGTTACAACTAGAATGTTGCTCTATGATGTCATGGATGGTTACAACTAGAATGTTGCTCTATGATGTCATGGATGGTTACAACAGAATGTTGCTCTATGATGTCATGGATGATTACAACTAGAATGTTGCTCTATGATGTCATGGATGGTTACAACAGAATGTTGCTCTATGATGTCATGGATGATTACAACTAGAATGTCATGGATGATTACAACTAGAATGTTGCTCTATAATGTCATGGATGGTTACAACTAGAATGTTGCTCTATGATGTCATGGATGGTTACAACTAGAATGTTGCTCTAGGATGTCATGGATGGTTACAACTAGAATGTTGCTCTAGGATGTCATGGATGGTTACAACTAGAATGTTGCTCTATGATGTCATGGATGGTTACAACTAGAATGTTGCTCTAGAATGTCATGGATGGTTACAACTAGAATGTTGCTCTATGATGTCATGGATGATTACAACTAGAATGTTGCTCTATGATGTCATGGATGGTTACAACTAGAATGTTGCTCTATGATGTCATGGATGGTTACAACTAGAATGTTGCTCTAGAATGTCATGGATGGTTACAACTAGAATGTTGCTCTAGAATGTCATGGATGGTTACAACTAGAATGTTGCTCTAGAATGTCATGGATGGTTACAACTAGAATGTTGCTCTATGATGTCATGGATGGTTACAACTAGAATGTTGCTCTAGAATGTCATGGATGGTTACAACTAGAATGTTGCTCTAGAATGTCATGGATGGTTACAACTAGAATGTTGCTCTATGATGTCATGGATGGTTACAACAGAATGTTGCTCTATGATGTCATGGATGATTACAACTAGAATGTCATGGATGATTACAACTAGAATGTTGCTCTATAATGTCATGGATGGTTACAACTAGAATGTTGCTCTATGATGTCATGGATGGTTACAACTAGAATGTTGCTCTATGATGTCATGGATGGTTACAACAGAATGTTGCTCTATGATGTCATGGATGATTACAACTAGAATGTCATGGATGATTACAACTAGAATGTTGCTCTATAATGTCATGGATGGTTACAACTAGAATGTTGCTCTATGATGTCATGGATGGTTACAACAGAATGTTGCTCTATGATGTCATGGATGATTACAACTAGAATGTCATGGATGATTACAACTAGAATGTTGCTCTATAATGTCATGGATGGTTACAACTAGAATGTTGCTCTATGATGTCATGGATGGTTACAACTAGAATGTTGCTCTAGAATGTCATGGATGGTTACAACTAGAATGTTGCTCTAGGATGTCATGGATGGTTACAACTAGAATGTTGCTCTAGGATGTCATGGATGGTTACAACTAGAATGTTGCTCTAGAATGTCATGGATGGTTACAACTAGAATGTTGCTCTATGATGTCATGGATGATTACAACTAGAATGTTGCTCTATGATGTCATGGATGGTTACAACTAGAATGTTGCTCTATGATGTCATGGATGGTTACAACTAGAATGTTGCTCTAGAATGTCATGGATGGTTACAACTAGAATGTTGCTCTAGAATGTCATGGATGGTTACAACTAGAATGTTGCTCTATGATGTCATGGATGGTTACAACTAGAATGTTGCTCTAGAATGTCATGGATGGTTACAACTAGAATGTTGCTCTAGAATGTCATGGATGGTTACAACTAGAATGTTGCTCTAGAATGTCATGGATGGTTACAACTAGAATGTTGCTCTAGAATGTCATGGATGGTTACAACTAATGTTGCTCTATGATGTCATGGATGGTTACAACTAGAATGTTGCTCTATGATGTCATGGATGGTTACAACTAGAATGTTGCTCTATGATGTCATGGATGGTTACAACAGAATGTTGCTCTGATGGTGTCATGGATGATTACAACTAGAATGTTGCTCTATGATGTCATGGATGGTTACAACTAGAATGTTGCTCTAGAATGTCATGGATGATTACAACTAGAATGTTGCTCTATGATGTCATGGATGATTACAACTAGAATGTTGCTCTAGGATGTCATGGATGGTTACAACTAGAATGTTGCTTTATGATGTCATGGATGATTACAACTAGAATGTTGCTTTATGATGTCATGGATGATTACAACTAGAATGTTGCTCTATGATGTCATGGATGATTACAACTAGAATGTTGCTCTATGATGTCATGGATGGTTACAACTAGAATGTTGCTCTAGAATGTCATGGATGGTTACAACTAGAATGTTGCTCTATGATGTCTGTGTTGTCCGTAGATGCTGTTGAATGATATGTCAAGACCATATAGTAACCCATACCTCTCTCTGTAAAGACCATATAGTAACCCATACCTCTCTCTGTCTGTAAAGACCATATAGTAACCCATACCTCTCTGTCTGTAAAGACCATATAGTAACCCATACCTCTCTCTGTCTGTAAAGACCATATAGTAACCCATACCTCTCTGTCTGTAAAGACCATATAGTAACCCATACCTCTCTCTGTCTGTAAAGACCATATAGTAACCCATACCTCTCTCTGTCTGTAAAGACCATATAGTAACCCATACCTCTCTCTGTCTGTAAAGACCATATAGTAACCCATACCTCTCTCTGTCTGTAAAGACCATATAGTAACCCATACCTCTCTTACTCTGTAAAGACCATATAGTAACCCATACCTCTCTTTCTCTGTAAAGACCATATAGTAACCCATACCTCTCTCTGTCTGTAAAGACCATATAGTAACCCATACCTGTCTCTGTAAAGACCATATAGTAACCCATACCTCTCTCTGTAAAGACCATATAGTAACCCATACCTGTCTCTGTAAAGACCATATAGTAACCCATACCTCTCTCTGTAAAGACCATATAGTAACCCATACCTCTCTGTCTGTAAAGGACCATATAGTAAACCCATACCTCTCTCTGTCTGTAAAGACCATATAGTAACCCATACCTCTCTCTGTAAAGACCATATAGTAACCCATACCTCTCTGTAAAGACCATATAGTAACCCATACCTCTCTCTGTAAAGACCATATAGTAACCCATACCTCTCTGTAAAGACCATATAGTAACCCATACCTCTCTGTAAAGACCATATAGTAACCCATACCTCTCTGTAAAGACCATATAGTAACCCATACCTCTCTCTGTCTGTAAAGACCATATAGTAACCCATACCTCTCTCTGTCTGTAAAGACCATATAGTAACCCCATACCTCTCTCTGTCTGTAAAGACCATATAGTAACCCATACCTCTCTTTCTCTGTAAAGACCATATAGTAACCCATACCTCTCTCTGTCTGTAAAGACCATATAGTAACCCATACCTCTCTCTGTCTGTAAAGACCATATAGTAACCCATACCTGTCTCTGTAAAGACCATATAGTAACCCATACCTCTCTCTGTCTGTAAAGACCATATAGTAACCCATACCTCTCTGTAAAGACCATATAGTAACCCATACCTCTCTGTAAAGACCATATAGTAACCCATACCTCTCTCTGTCTGTAAAGACCATATAGTAACCCATACCTCTCTCTGTAAAGATCATATAGTAACCCATACCTCTCTTTCTCTGTAAAGACCATATAGTAACCCATACCTCTCTCTGTCTGTAAAGACCATATAGTAACCCATACCTGTCTCTGTAAAGACCATATAGTAACCCATACCTCTCTCTGTAAAGACCATATAGTAACCCATACCTCTCTCTGTCTGTAAAGACCATATAGTAACCCATACCTCTCTCTGTAAAGACCATATAGTAACCCATACCTCTCTCTGTCTGTAAAGACCATATAGTAACCCATACCTCTCTGTAAAGACCATATAGTAACCCATACCTCTCTCTGTAAAGACCATATAGTAACCCATACCTCTCTCTGTCTGTAAAGACCATATAGTAACCCATACCTCTCTGTAAAGACCATATAGTAACCCATACCTCTCTCTGTCTGTAAAGACCATATAGTAACCCATACCTGTCTCTCTCTCGGTCTAGGTTTGAGAAGGCTGCAGTGGAGTACCAGGAACAGCTGTGTGCCGTGACCGGGATGGACTGTTCCATTAAGGGCTTCGACCGCTCACTCCTCAAACTGGCCGGAGCCAACAGCTCCAACACAGCCAGCCCCAAACACACCGGCAACGGTGAGACGCCACACAGGGAATAGGGTGACGTTTCAGATGCAGCCACTGGCTGATAATAACCAAGTACCCCCCCCCCCCCTCTTCTCCTCCTGTCCTTCCGCCTCTCCTCCTCCTCCTCCTTCAGGTGACGGCAGGAAGACGGTTCTCCTCAAGTCCAGCGAGTGTTCCTCCGAGGTGCTCAACCTCCTTGCCAATAAGGCGTGCCAGTGCTATGTGGCCCTCTGTGATTGGTCCTCGGTGCAGGAGTGGCAGGCCAGCGTGCACGCCCTCAAGAAGAACCCTGGTAACCCTGTCGCAGCGAGCGTGCACCTGAAGACAGACTTCAACTACGTGCGGGCGCTGAGCTGCTTCGAGGACGGAGACTTCCCAGCATGCCGTGCTCAGCTGGAGCTCCTGGCTGGGGAGAGAGACGACTACGGCCTGCTCAACTCCACCTCTACTGGCTCCAAGGACAAACTAGGTAGGAGGGAGGAAGGGAGGAGAGGGAGAGGAGGGAGGGGAGGGAGAGAGGGAGAGGACTACAGTATGTCTGAGACTGCCCCCATCAGTGTTGAGTCTAGACTCCTTAGAGGTGTGTGTGTCTTAATGATGTGTGTGTGTGTGTGTGTGTGTGTGTGTGTGTGTGTGTGTGTGTATAGACTTGAAGCGTCTCCTCCCGGCAGTGTTGAGCCCGGACCCCTCAGAACTGCAGAAGGCCATCGAGGTGCAGCTGTTGCGGAGCGCCGTGGCCGCCATGACAACGGCCAATCAAGAGCAGGAACCAAAGGCCATGGCCAACTCAGAGTGAGTCTCTCATTGGATCCTGGAGATCACTTTTTGTTAAATCACGTATTAATGTATTAGTGCTGGGTAGGAACAAAAACCTGCAGAATTGTGGAACACTTCATATACTCAGTTGCATACTCCTCGGTTCCTTCTCAAAACCCATTGGAGGAGGTGAAAGGGGCGGGTCCTCAGACTTTGTCCTCCAATGGGTTGTAAGAGAGAGATGAGATGAGTTGAGATCTTCCATTATGTCTTCCACATTCCATTTAGATTGAGCTTGGTTCAGTTGGACTGACCGCTGTTTCTATGTGTTCTGTCTGTGCTGCTCTGTGGGCCCTGGTCAAAAGTAGTGCACTATATAGGGTGCCATTTGGGACAGACTATGGGTGCCTCATAATAATATCTCCTTTACCCTGAAGTGTACAGTCGTTCACTACTTCCACATCTACATATCTAAAAGCATTGTATTGGTGGAGACATGGGCTGGTGGGAGTTTCCACCATTTTTGTGATACCAGTCATTTCCTTTCCCAATCAGGTGACAGGAAGTGACCACACTGGGAGGAAGGAGAGATAATAGCTTATGTCTTCTGTGTGTGTGTTGCAGTACCCTGATCCGTTACCTGAAGCAGACGGGTCGGATCTCTCTGGGTCCCCTCCGCCTCTCCACCCTCACCCTCTCTGACGGCCTGCCCACCCTCGCCACCCTGCAGTTACACTGCTGCTCCGCCCTGGAGAACACACTCAGCGGACAGGAGGTACACACACACACACACACACACACCAAACACCACACGGAGGTACACACACACACACACACACACACGCACCTGGAGGTACACACCACGGAGATACACACACACACACACACACACACACACACTGCTGGAGAACACACTCAGCGGACAGGAGGTACACACACACCACACACACACACACACACTGCTGGAGAACACACTCAGTGGACAGGAGGTACACACACACACACACACACACACACACACACACCCTCGCCACCCTGCAGTTAAACTGCTGGAGAACACACTCAGCGGACAGGGGGTACACTACATGACCAAAAGTATGTGAACACCTGGTCGTCAAACAGCTCATTCCGAAATCATGGGCATTAATATGGAGTTGGTCCCCCTTTTGCTGCTATAACAGCCTCCACTCTTCTGGGAAGGCTTTCCACTAGATGTTGGAACATTGCTGTGGGGACTTGCTTCCATTCAGCCACAAGCGCATTAGTGAGGTCAGGCACTGATGTTGGGCGATTAGGCCTGGCTCGCAGTCGGTGTTCAAATTCATCCCAAAGGTGTTCGATGGGGTTGAGGTCAGGGCTCTGTGCAGGCCAGTCAAGTTCTTCCACACTGATCTCAACAAACCATTTCTGTATGGATCGCGCTTTGTGCACGGGGGCATTGTCATGCTGAAACAGGAAAGGGCCTTCCCCAAACTGTTGCCACAAAGTTGGAAGCACAGAATTGTGTATGGTGATCTTAGGCTTGTGTGCAGCTGCATTTCATGAAGCTCCCTTCAAACGGTTGTTGTGCTGACGTTGCTTCCAGAGGCAGTTTGGAACTCTGTAGTGATTGTTGCAACCGAGGACAGACGATTTTTACGCGCTTCAGCACTCTGCGGTCCCATTCTGTGAGCTTGTGTGGCCTACCACTTTGTGGCTGAGCCATGTTGTCTCCTAGACGTTTCCACTTCACAATAACAGCACTTACAGTTGACTGGGGCAGCTCTAGCAGGGCAGAAATTAGATGAACTGACTTGTTGGAAAGGTGGCATCCTATGACGGTGCCACGTTGAAAGTCACTGTACGGGCCGTACGGGCCGTTCTACTACCAATGTTTGTCTATGGAGATTGCATGGCTGTGCGCTCGATTTATACACCTGTCAGATTCAACAACTGAGACATAAACTGAACAAGTTCCACAGACATGTGACTAACATAAATTGAATAATGTGTCCCTGAACAAAGGGTGGGTCAAAATCAAAAGTAACAGTCAGTATCTGGTGTGGCCACCAGCTGCATTAAGTACTGCTGCATTAGTGCATCTCCTCCTCATGGACTGCACCAGATTTGCCAGTTCTTGCTGTGAGATGTTACCCCACTCTTCCACCAAGGCACCTGCAAGTTCCCAGACATTTCTGGGGGTAATGGCCCTAGCCCGTTGTTGCCAGTGATGTCTGGTGAGGACCTGCCTTAAAACAGGCCTACAAGCCCTCAGTCCAGCCTCTCTCAGCCTATTGCAGACAGTCTGAGCACTGATGTTTTTTTGCTGAGTTTGTTTATATATATATACACACACCCCCTAACCCCTCCTCCTCTCCAGGACTGTCTGATCCCCCTGTACAGTGAAGCGCTCAGCACCTGTAAACAACAGGATGTCCAGCCGTGGCTCCACGCGCTGAGATACACCATCTACCAGAGACAACTACTGCTCAAGCTCAAAGGTACACAACGTGTGTGTCCCTGTGTGTGTGTCCCTGTGTGTGTATGTGTGTGTGTGTATGTGTGTGTCTCTTAGACTCTGTGCTTTATATCCATCTGTATTTATTTCAGTGGGTGTGTGGGGTCCCCGTTGGTGGGGTCCCCATCATGTGACTCACGTTAACCCTCTCTCGCTTCCTGTGCTCCATTACCCAGGCTCCTCTGCTCCGCTGGACAGCCACCTGATGGAACTGTGTCTGACGGCCGTCAAGTTCGCCCGGAAACAGGGCAACATCGCCCTGGCAACGCGGCTGCTGGGCCAGTGCAGCGAGGAGGAGGAGGGAGGAGAGGATGGGTTGAGCCGTGCGTTTAGGCGTCTGACACTAGAGGGAGTTGTGGGGGAGAAGTGGGGACCTGAACTACAGATCGAGAAGGCGAAAGTACTCTGCACTGCGGGTGAGTGAGTGTGTGTGTGAGTGTGTGTGTGTACGTACGTACGTGGTGTGTTTATGTTTGCTGACTCATCTTCTCTCCTCTATCCCCTTGAGGAAGAAAAAAAAGGGACGGGAAAAAAGAGAAAAGAAAAAAAGTCCCCTGAGAAAGAAAAAAGAGAAGGGAAGAAAGAAAGAAAAAAAGGAGGAAGAAGAAAACCCAAAAAAGAAACGGAATCCTCCCCCGACATGGTCTCTCTCCTCCTCTTCTCCTCCTATCCCTCCTCCCCTCCCTCTCTCAGCTCCCTCTCTCTCTTCCACTTCTCCTCTCCCCCTACCCTTTTCTTTCTTCCTCCTCTCCCCCTCCAGGTCAGTCCATGGCAGCCATGGAGATGTTGAGTTCTTATGCTGTGTCTTACTGTCGCTCAGGGAAGTGTGAGCGCGCCGCCTGTCGCTCCGTCCTCACTCTGTGTAAGTAGTGGTTCCAGTACCTCCCAAATGGCACCCTATTCCCTACATAGTGCGCTACTTTAGACCAGAGCCAAATGGCACCCTATTCGCTATATAGTGCTCTTATTTGGGGGAGAAGAGTGCCATTTGAGATGCAGGCGTACCAGGGTTGGTACCTGTCTCTCTGTCCTGTGCATACAGGGTAATTGGTGCATGTTACTGCAATCTCAGGGCCCTCCCATGTGTATTTTTGGCACAGCCCTGTTCTAACCGTCTGTGTCTGTAGGTAAGTGGCTGCTGGCGGACTGGAAGGACATGACCCCTCAGCTCAAACAGGTGGTGAAGAGGTCAGGGGTCGCTGTCTTGCCCCCCCTCAGCCGGAACATCACAGCCCTGCTGGAGCTACCCCTAGAGGATCAGGGCATGCCCCGAATCACAGCTGAGACCACAGGTAGGACACACCCCCTAAACCCTCTCTGCCTCCGTAGTGAGTGTGGGTGTAGAAGAACCAGACTTGATCCTGGGGAAGCTCTACCAGTCTGTACCCTAACCCCTACACACTAACCCCTCTCTCTCTCTGCCTCCGTAGTGAGTGTGGGTGTAGAAGAACCAGACTTGATCCTGGGGAAGCTCTACCAGTCTGTACCCTAACCCCTACACACTAACCCCTCTCTCTCTCTGCCTCCGTAGTGAGTGTGGGTGTAGGAGAACCAGACTTGATCCTTGGGCAGCTCTACCAGTCTGTACCCTAACCCCTACACACTAACCCCTCTCTCTCTCTGCCTCCGTAGTGAGTGTGGGTGTAGGAGAACCAGACTTGATCCTTGGGCAGCTCTACCAGTTGTCCACCAGTCAGGCCCCGGAGGTGGCCAAGTCCTGGGCGGCTCTCGCCAGCTGGGCCTATCGCTGGGGACGGAAGGTGGTTGACAACGCCAGGTACCTACTCTGCCAGTTGTTGTTTTATTATGCCCTTTTAGTTTTAATTTTCAGTTGTCGTGAAACACACATGAATACAGACGTGGTAAAAGCCGTTGATAACACATGAATACAGACGTGGTACATTCTGTGGTAAAAGCCATTGATAACACATGAATACAGACGTGGTACCTTCTGTGGCAAAAGCCGTTGATAACACATGAATACAGACGTGGTACATTCTGTGGTAAAAGCTGTTGATAACACATGAATACAGACGTGGTACATTCTGTGGTAAAAGCTGTTGATTAAACATGAATACAGACGTGGTACATTCTGTGGGAAAAGCCGTTGATTAACATGAATCAGACTGGGTACATTCTGTGGTAAAAGCTGTTGATAACACATGAATACAAGACGTGGTAAAAGCTGTTGATAACATATGAATACAGACGTGGTACATTCTGTGGTAAAAAGCTGTTGATAACACATGAATACAGACGTGGTAAAAGCTGTTGATAACATATGAATACAGACGTGGTACTTTCTGTGGTAAAAGCTATCTACCTCTACCCATCATCCCTCTTTTCCATCCCCCTCTCATCTCTCCTCCCCTACTTCCGTCCCTCTCTCATCTTTCATCCCATCCTCTCTCTCTCTCCATCCCTCCAGTCAAGGTGAAGGTGTGCCTCTGCTCCCGGGAGAGAAGGAGGAGATCGAGGAGCTTCTCCCAGAATGCACCAGTGAGGAGGACAAGGAGACCATCTTCAGCATCCTGGGTCAGGCCATGTGTCGACCCGCCGGAATACAGGTGTGTGTGCTCATGAGGAATGGATAACTGTTGAATTAGTAACTACTGTTTTAGTATGGTACACATCTTGTGCTTTCTCCCAGTGTTCTGAAAATATCATAGTTCATCCAGGATAGAAGTTTAGAACTTGAGTCTACATGGAACTGCATAACAAAGTGACCCAGTTTGTGTCTGTCTTTTTCCATGTGTGTCTCTACCTCTTTTAGACTCTGTCGTCTTTCCTTGATTCCTGACATTCTCTCTACCTCTTTTAGACTCTGTCGTCTTTCCTTGATTCCTGACATTCTCTCTACCTCTTTTAGACTCTGTCGTCTTTCCTTGATTCCTGACATTCTCTCTACCTCTTTTAGACTCTGTCGTCTTTCCTTGATTCCTGACATTCTCTCTACCTCTTTTAGACTCTGTCGTCTTCCTTGATTCCTGACATTCTCTACCTCTTTTAGACTCTGTCGTCTTTCCTTGATTCCTGACATTCTCTCTACCTCTTTTAGACTCTGTCGTCTTTCCTTGATTCCTGACATTCTCTCTACCTCTTTTAGACTCTGTCGTCTTTCCTTGATTCCTGACATTCTCTCTACCTCTTTTAGACTCTGTCGTCTTTCCTTGATTCCTGACATTCTCTCTACCTCTTTTAGACTCTGTCGTCTTTCCTTGATTCCTGACATTCTCTCTACCTCTTTTAGACTCTCTGTCGTCTTTCCTTGATTCCTGACATTCTCTCTACCTCTTTTAGACTCTGTCGTCTTTCCTTGATTCCTGACATTCTCTCTACCTCTTTTAGACTCTGTCGTCTTTCCTTGATTCCTGACAAATCTCATCTCCTCGTCTCCTCAACTGTATTGGTGGAGAAGGTCCAAGGTCCCTCCCCTCAGACCTTCTCTTCCAATGTGTTTTGAGAAGGGATGGGATGAGAAGACTAGAGGACTGCGTCTATTAAAAAAGAACCTGTTACTCTGGCTGGATCCCGAATCACCTCCCTTCCCTCGCCCCTCCGTTTACGTGCTCCTCCCCCATGTGCACAAGTGTCCCAAAGCTGAGAGAGTGAAACATGGAAGGTGTGGGAGCTAATTAAGACCCTCAGATAGCCACTTCCACGAGTCTGACACGCTTCCGGCTTCAGAGCAAAGTGGTTTCCCATAACGCACCACATATGTTTTTGGGGCAATTATTAGGCAATTTCACCAAAATAATTGTGGCATGCCTAATTATATGTCTGATTTCGAGGCTTGACACTTAAAACAAATGAAATGCCTCCCGAATGATGTTTAACTGTTACTGAGGTTTATACACTGCTCAAAAAAATAAAGGGAACACTTAAACAACACAATGTAACTCCAAGTCAATCACACTTCTGTGAAATCAAACTGTCCACTTAGGAAGCAACACTGATTGACAATACATTTCACATGCTGTTGTGCAAATGGAATAGACAACAGGTGGAAATTATAGGCAATTAGCAAGACACCCCCAATAAAGGACTGTTTTTGCAGGTGGTGACCACAGACCACTTCTCAGACCACTTCCTATGCTTTCTGGCTGATGTTTTGGTCACTTTTGAATGCTGGCGGTGCTTTCACTCTAGTGGTAGCATGAGATGGAGTCTACAACCCACACAAGTGGCTCAGGTAGTGCAGCTCATCCAGCATGGCACATCAATGCGAGCTGTGGCAAGAAGGTTTGCTGTGTCTGTTAGCGTAGTGTCCAGAGCATGGAGGCGCTACCAGGAGACAGGCCAGTACATCAGGAGACGTGGAGGAGGCCGTAGGAGGGCAACAACCCAGCAGCAGGACCGCTACCTCCGCCTTTGTGCAAGGAGGAGCAGGAGGAGCACTGCCAGAGCCCTGCAAAATGACCTCCAGCAGGCCACTAATGTGCATGTGTCTGCTCAAACGGTCAGAAACAGACTCCATGAGGGTGGTATGAGGGCCCGACGTCCACAGGTGGGGGTTGTGCTTACAGCCCAACACCGTGCAGGACGTTTGGCATTTGCCAGAGAACACCAAGATTGGCAAATTCGCCACTGGCGCCCTGTGCTCTTCACAGATGAAAGCAGGTTCACACTGAGTACGTGACAGAGTCTGGAGACGCCTTGGAGAACGTTCTGCTGCCTGCAACATCCTCCAGCATGACCGGTTTGGCGGTGGGTCAGTCATGGTGTGGAGTGGCATTTCTTTGGGGGGCCGCACAGCCCTCCATGTGCTCGCCAGAGGTAGCCTGACTGCCATTAGGTACCGAGATGAGATCCTCAGACCCCTTGTGAGACCATATGCTGGTGCGGTTGGCCCTGGGTTCCTCCTAATGCAAGACAATGCTAGACCTCATGTGGCTGGAGTGTGTCAGCAGTTCCTGCAAGAGGAAGGCATTGATGCTATGGACTGGCCTGCCCATTCCCCAGACCTGAATCCAATTGAGCACATCTGGGACATCATGTCTCACTCCATCCACCAACGCCACGTTGCACCACAGACTGTCCAGGAGTTGGCGGATGCTTTAGTCCAGGTCTGGGAGGAGATCCCTCAGGAGACCATCCGCCACCTCATCAGGAGCATGCCCAGGCATTGTAGGGAGGTCATACAGGCACGTGGAGGCCACACACACTACTGAACCTCATTTTGACTTGTTTTAAGGACATTACATCAAAGTTGGATCAGCCAAGTAGTGTGGTTTTCCACTTTAATTTTGAGGGTGACTCCAAATCCAGACCTCCCATGGGTTGATACATTTGATTTCCATTGATAATTTGTGTGATTTTGTTGTCAGCACATTCAACTATGTAAAGAAGTATTTAATAAGATTATTTAATTCATTCAGATCTAGGATGTGTTATTTTAGTGTTCCCTTTATTTTTTTGAGCAGTGTATCTTGTAAAACGACAGGGGGGATTTGTTAATTAGAGTTTCATACTCTTTTTATTATTTTAAAGGGAAACATGAATTGCATCATTCAAGTCAGGAGTGTGTCTTGAAATTGATGGGTTTATTTATCGCCTCGCCACTCTGGAAGTCACCCTCTGAGTTTCCTCAGCAACACGTGACAACGGAGGGCCCTCCAACCGAGTTGGTTTGGGATTCACCGTCTGCCTGCTATCATAATAACTCTAACTCTCCCCCTCCCTCCCTCCCTCCCTCCCTCCAGGATGAGGACATGGCCCTGCAGCAGGAGGAAGATGAGGAGGATGACATGGTGGATGTGATCTGGAGGCAGCTGCTGTCTGCCTGTCCCTGGCTGGAGGAGCAGGGGGAGGTGGAGGGGGTCCAGGGTGGGGGTAGTGGGGTGATGGAGGGTCTGATCCGGGTCTGGAGGAGGGTGGTGGACCGGATCTTCAGCCTCTACAGGGTCTCCTGCAGGGCCTACTTCACCTTCCTCAAACTCAACGCTGGACAGGTGGGTGGAACTCACTCTCTCTCGTGGGTGGACTGGGACTGGCAGGGGGGACTGGGAGTGGTTAGTCTGGGACTATTTCTATGGGGATTTTCCATTGAGCGTGCTTTTTAGTCCGGGACTAAGCTTAATCTGGGCTCCTGAGTGGCGCAGTGGTCTAAGGCACTGCATCTCAGTGCTTGAGGCATCACTACAAACCCTGGTTCGATTCCAGGCTGTATCACAACCGGCCGTGATTGGGAGTCCCATAGGGCGGCGCACAATTGGCCCAGCGTCGTCCGGGTTTGGCCGGTGTAGGCCGTCATTGTAAATAAGAATTTGTTCTTAACTGACTTGCCTAGTTAAATAAAGGTAAAATAAATAAAATGTGTCCAGGAAACTGGCCCTACGAGTACTTGTCTGTAAGATTAATCTTAAAAAGTAGAATTTATGTTGGTCTGGATACATGCTAGAATATTCTCAGCCCGGTATTGCTATTCACTTCACTATGTTTCTATTCATCTAGGACTTGAGGAAGTTTGGGACATTGTAGGAGATGCCATCTCTTATAGCCTTTTCACTTTCACTGCATCTCCTTGCCCTCCCTCCATCCATCTCTCTCTCCTTGCCCTCCCGCCATCTCTTCATCCATCCATCTCTCCTTGCCCTCCCTCCATCCATCTCTCCCGCCATCTCTTCATTCATCCATCTCTCCCTCCATCTCTCCATCCATCTCTCCTTGCCCTCCATCCATCCATCTCTTCATCCATCCATCCATCTCTCCTTGCCCTGCCCTCATCCATCTCTTCATCCATCCATCCATGTCTCTTCTTCCTCCATCAGGTACCCATCGATGAGGATGACCCCAAGCTGCTGCTGACCAATCAGAACAGCAAGCAGAGCAACGATGACATCATCGTCATGGCGACGCTGCGGTTGCTACGGCTGCTGGTGAAGCACGCCGGGGAGCTGAGGGAGGGGCTTGAGCTTGGCCTCGCCTCTACCCCCCACCGCCCCCTGGAGAGGTAACACTCACACCCCCACTGTCCCCTGGAGAGGTAACACTCACACCTCCACTGTCCCCAGGAGAGGTAACACTCACACCTCCACTGTCCCCTGGAGAGGTAACACTCACACCTCCACTGTCCCCTGGAGAGGTAACACTCACACCTCCACTGTCCCCAGGAGAGGTAACACTCACACCTCCACTGTCCCCTGGAGAGGTAACACTCACACCTCCACTGTCCCCTGGAGAGGTAACACTCACACCTCCCACTGTCCCACAGGAGAGGTAACACTCACACCTCCACTGTCCCTGGAGAGGTAACACTCACACCTCCACTGTCCCCTGGAGAGGTAACACTCACACCTCCACTGTCCCCCTGGAGAGGTAACACTCACACCTCCACTGTCCCCTGGAGAGGTAACACTCACACCTCCACTGTCCCCAGGAGAGGTAACACTCACACCTCCACTGTCCCCAGGAGAGGTAACACTCACACCTCCACTGTCCCCATGGAGAGGTAACACTCACACCTCCACTGTCCCCAGGAGAGGTAACACTCACACCTCCACTGTCCCCAGGAGAGTGGTAACACTCACACCTCCACTGTCCCCTGGAGAGGTAACACTCACACCTCCACTGTCCCCAGGAGAGGGTAACACTCACACCTCCACTGTCCCCAGGAGAGGTAAACACTCACACCTCCACTGTCCCCAGGAGAGGTAACATCACCCTCACTGTCCCCAGGAGAGGTAACACTCACACCTCCACTGTCCCCAGGAGAGGAACACTCACACCTCCACTGTCCCCTGGAGAGGTAACACTCACACCTCCACTGTCCCTGAGAGGTAACAACTCACACCTCCACTGTCCCCAGGAGAGGTTAACACTCACACCTCCACTGTCCCCCTGGAGAGGTAACACTCACACCTCCACTGTCCCCAGGAGAGGTAACACTCACACCTCCACTGTCCACCAGGAGATGGTAACACTCACACCTCCACTGTCCCCTGGAGAGTAACACTCACACCTCCACTGTCCCCAGGAGAGGTAACACTCACACCTCCACTGTCCCCAGGAGAGGTAACACACAGAGGGAGCTCTCTGTTCTGATGTTACAATCTAGAAACGAATTTCTATTTATTAAACTGACATTCTAGTATTAAGACCTAGAACACTTTACGGAGAGATTTGAGAGACCTTTGCTACCGTTTCTGTCTCCTGCTAATTGTCTCTCCCCCCCCAGGCATCATCCCCCAGCTGTTCTCTCGTCTGAACCACCCAGAGGCTTACATCAGACAGAGCATCTGTAGTCTGCTGTGCCGCGTTGCCCAGGACTCACCACACCTCATCCTGTACCCTGCTATAGTAGGATCACTGTCTCTGGGAGGAGACGCACAGCACGCAGGTACATTCACTCACTCTCACACTCTCTCACTCACTCATTTACATTTTAGTCATTTAGCAGACGCTCTTATCCAGAGCGACTTACAGGAGCAATTAGGGTTAAGTGCCTTGCTCAAGGGCACATCGACAGATTTTTCACCTAGTCGGCTCGGGGATTAGAACCAGCGACCTTTCGGTTACTGACACAAAGCTCTTAACCACTAAGCTACCTGCCGCCCCCACTGTGTGTGTTGACAGGTACTCTGTTACTCTCAACTCACCATCAAATTTGTCTCCCAGGTAACAAGCTCCCAGCGGCCCTGCCCACCTTCCTGGGCGGCATGCAGGGGGAGGGGCTGTGTGAGGAAGGGGAGGGGGCACTGGGCAGTAACCCCGCCTCCCAGGAGGAAGATGGGCGGGGCGAGGAGTTTCCTGCACTGTGTTCCAGCCAGGACCAGGCCATGATGCATGACTGCTACAGCAAGATAGTGGACAAGCTGTCTGCAGCCAACCCCACTATGGTGTTACAGGTAAATACTTCCCCCTACCACAACCCCACAATGGTGTTACAGGTAAATACTTCCCCCTACCACAACCCCACCATGGTGTTACAGGTAAATACTTCCCCCTACCACAACCCCACTATGGTGTTACAGGTAAATACCCACCACCCCCCCCCACCACCCCACCCCCCCCCCCCCCCCCGCACCCACCCCACACCCACACCCACCCACCCACCCCCCAAACGCCACCCACCACCCCCCACCCCCCCCACCACCCCCCCACCCCCCCGCCCCCCACCCCCCCCACCCCACCCACACCCCCACCCCCCCCACCCCCCACCCCCCAGCCCACCCCCCCCAACCACCCACCCCCCCCCACACACCCCCCCAAACCAAACCCCACCCCCCCCCACCCACCCACCCACAACCCACCCCCCAACCCCCCACCACCCCCCCCACCCCAAACACCCCCCCACCCCACCCACCCACCCCCCACCAACACCCCCACCCCCCCCCCCACCCCCCACCCCCCCCCCCCCACCCCACCCCCCCCCCCCCCCCCCACCCCCACCCCCCCCCACACCCCACCCCCACCCACCCCCCCCCCCCCCCCCCCCCCCCCCCCCCCCATTCCACCCCCCCCCCCCCCCACCCACCCACCCCCCCCCCCCCCCACCCCCACACCCACCCCCCCCCCAACCCACCACCCCCCCCCAACCCCCCCCCCCCCCCCCCCCCCCCGCACCCCTCCCCCCCCCCCCACCCCCTAACCACAACCCACGAGGTGGGGACAGGTAAAGAATTTTCCCTTAACCACAAACCCCACCATGGGGTTACAGGTAATACTTCCCCCTACTGCAAACCCCACACTAGGTTGTTACAGGTAATACGACTCACCCTACACAACCCCACCATGGTGTTACAGGTAAATACTCATTCCCCCTAACACAAACCCACCAGGTGTGACAAGTGGAAATCTTCCCCTAACTACTGGTGTTATAGCTAAATACCTCCCCCCTACTACTGGTGTTACAGCTAAATGCTTTCCCCTCATTACTGGTGTTACAGTTCATTATGTCCCCCTAGTCCTAGCTAGCTCCCCACTCATGCTGCACATAATTATACACTCTTGAGTAATGTTACACAGCATGTAGACATTTCGAAACGGTTAATGAATTACCTGTCCATACAGGCTACAACTATTTCCAAAGCAAGAGGATAATTTAACCCCATAGTTAGCTAGCTATTAAACAACATTCAGCATTCAAAGAAAGCTAACTTTCCTCAGTTCACTACCCTAGACCCTTATTTGTGATAATATGCCAACCATAATGTAAAATATGCTGTTTTCAAAGCTGATTGTCACCAAACACTTTCATTCACTGGGTTAAATGATTTGTCTTTCCCTCGGCGAACTGACTATGCATCTCCGTGCATCGTGACTTGTGAATGACCGCAGTCTTCTTAAAGAGACGGCACGTATTTAAGAGAAGAAATGCAACTCTTATAAAGAATATTTAGAACTGTTATTATTCAGAAACACAAAATACTGTCAAATACCATCATACTGTCTAAAATGAGACTAATATCGAGATATGACATTTTGGCCGTATCGCCCAGCCCAGCTTGTGTCTTGTGGGGACCTGGGAGTCTTGTGGGGACCTGGGAGTCTTGTGGGGGACCTGGGAGTCTTGTGGGGGACCTGGGAGTCTTGTGGGGGACCTGGGAGTCTTGTGGGGACCTGGGTAGTCTTGTGGGGACCTGTGCTAACCAAGTGTGACTTTGTGTGTCCGTCCGTGGGTCCCCAGGTGCAGATGCTGGTGGGAGAGCTGCGCCGCGTGACACTGCTGTGGGATGAGTTGTGGCTGGGGGTCCTGCAGCAGCAACACATGCACGTCCTGCGCAGGATACAGCAGCTGGAGGACGAGGTCAAGAGAGTGCAGAACAACAACACACTACGCAAGTGAGTCTCTCCACACACCACAGGACCCACACACTCAGGGCCCACCCACTCAGGGCCCACACACACAGGGCCCACACACTCAGGGCCCACCCATACAGGGCCCACACACTCAGGACCCACACACTCAGGGCCCACCCACTCAGGGCCCACCCACTCAGGGCCCACACACTCAGGGCCCACACAACACACACTACTAGGATACATGATGAATCTCAAACGCATGTTTCAGAATGACCTAACTCCAGTCACAAAACAATCACTTATACACATAAGTAGCAGAATAGTGTGTCATGGCCTGTGTGGTCCAGTGGTTAACGCTGTGGCCCCTGTCTCTGGTACTGTATAGTCTAGGCTGGCTGCAGAGGTTATCCCTGTCCTGGTACGGTTATAGTCGAGGCTGCCAGATGTTAGTCCCTGTCTGGTACTGTATAGTCTAGGCTGCCAGAGGTAGTCCCCTGTCTGGTACTGTATAGTCTAGGCTGCCAGAGGTTAGTCCCTGTCTGGTAACTGGTATAGTCTAGGCTGCCAGAGGTTAGTCCCTGTCTGGTACTGTATAGTCTAGGCTGCCAGAGGTTAGTCCCTGTCTGGTACTGTATAGTCTAGGCTGCCAGAGGTTAGTCCCTGTCTGGTACTGTATAGTCTAGGCTGCCAGAGGTTAGTCCCTGTCTGGTAACTGTATAGTCTAGGCTGCCAGAGGTTAGTCCCTGTCTCTGGTACTGTATAGTCTAGGCTGCCAGAGGTTAGTCCCTGTCTCTGGTACTGTATAGTCTAGGCTGCCAGAGGTTAGTCCCCGTCTCTGGTACTGTATAGTCTAGGCTGGCCAGAGGTTAGTCCCTGTCTGGTACTGTATAGTCTAGGCTGCAGAGGTAGTCCCTGTCTCTGGTACTGTATAGTCTAGGCTGCCAGAGGTTAGTCCCTGTCTGGTACTGTATAGTCTAGGCTGCCAGAGGTTAGTCCCTGTCTGGTACTGTATAGTCTAGGCTGCCAGAGGTTAGTCCCTGTCTCTGGTACTGTATAGTCTAGGCTGCCAGAGTTAGTCCCTGTCTGTACTGTATAGTCTAGGCTGCCAGAGGTTAGTCCCCTGTCTGGTACTGTATAGTCTAGGCTGCCAGGGTTAGGTCCCTGTCTGGTACTGTATAGTCTAGGCTGCCAGAGGTTAGTCCCTGTCTGGTACTGTATAGTCTAGGCTGCCAGAGGTTAGTCCCTGTCCTGGTACTGTATAGTCTAGGCTGCCAGAGGTTAGTCCCTGTCTGGTACTGTATAGTCTAGGCTGCCAGAGGTTAGTCCCTGTCTCTGGTACTGTATAGTCTAGGCTGCCAGAGGTTAGTCCCTGTCTGGTACTGTATAGTCTAGGCTGCCAGAGGTTATGGGATCCATTCTGACCCTCTGCACTTTTCACTTCTTTGTTTTGTCCTCTTCACTGTCCTGTCTCAACATATATGTTTAAACCTTATTAAAGGCAGATAGATAAACAGTGTGTCTTCCCCTCTGTCAGGGAGGAGAAGGTAGCCATCATGCGTGAGAAGCACTCCGCTCTGATGCGTCCCGTGGTGTTCGCGCTGGACCATGTGAGGAGCATCACCACCACGCCCGCCGAGACCCCCCACGAGACCTGGTTCCAGCAGACCTACGGGGACCCCATCACCTCGGCCCTGGGGAGACTGAAGAGCCCTCCCAACCCGGCCAACCCGGCCAGCAGCTGGGTCCCATTCAAACAGGTAGGGCCAGGACCGTGGGTGGGGGTGTGTTTGTTCCGTGAGGGTGTAGGGTGAAGTTGCCCCCCCCCCCCCCTTTGCATTTTCCCCCACTAATGGTTAAAGGTAGACTCAGCGAGATGGCGTTAACACGAACAGCACCGCAGATATTGAGATATCTAGCTAATGACAAATACTCTTCAAATAGGTAACTGTACAAAATAAAATGCTCATATTGACAGACAACATTAACATTAAAAAGACGAGAGCTAAATTCAGCAGGCTGGCTAGCTAGCTAGCTACCATGTCTTGTTTTGGCTGACTGTCTACTCAGCTTGTTATCAAAACCAAAGTTAATTTCAGACTCATCTTATCCATCAGAACAAATACTCTAAAATGGCAATATTATAATTACCAACATAAAAACATTGTTATACAGTTTCTTAACTTAATGTTGCTGTCCTGATCTCAATGACAGAGCTGTCAACTTGTTAGAAACCTTTCAGGTCCAGTGAAGGCCAGGCGCCTCCCTGGGGTAGCATTCACTTTCAGTCACAGTGCCAAAACTCAACATTTGCTCCATCCTGCCAATGATGCATTGGCGTCAGTTGTTACTATGGCAATTCAAGATGGCGCTACCATGCTGTTAGCTTCTGAACAAACAGAGTAAAAACTCACGGACGACTAGAAAAAGCTCAAACCAAGTTTATTCAACCCACTGGGTCATACAGCTGCAAAGACAAACATACAAGTCACACAAGCACATCTTTTAAATCTTCCAACGAGGCGGAGTCATCAGAGGTTAGACCCTGTCTGGTAGGCGGAGTCATCAGAGGTTAGACCCTGTCTGGTAGGCGGAGTCATCAGAGGTTAGACCCTGTCTGGTAGGCGGAGTCATCTCCTTGCATGTTTAAGATACAATCCTTCTCTGTCAGGCAGAAACACAGTAGGTTCCTCTTACTGGTGTTGTCATGGCCCTGCCTACGTCTAGAGCTCATGGCCGTGGAAATATGTGTGTGTGAGAGAGGACTATAATCAGATGGTCTTCGGGGTGAGCCCCTGTGGCCCCCCTCCTCCTCCTCCCAGCAGTGTCTTCTCTCTTCATCTGTTGTACTCCCGAATGGGGCAGTGGTCTAAGGCATGCATCGCAGTGCTAGCTGTGCCACTAGAGATCCTGGTTCGAGTCCAGGCTCTGTCGCAGCCGGCCGCAACCGGGAGACCCATGGGCGGCGCACAATTGGTCCAGCGTCGTCCAGGGTAGGGGAGGGTTTGACTGGCAGGGATATGGGTTCGTTTCCCACGGGGGGCCAGTATGAAAAAAACAAAAACAACGTATGCATTCACTTACCCTGTAAGTCGCTCTGGATAAATCTGTTGACCTTATCTCGAGTTAAGTTCCACATCCATCATGGTCCATGGTTCCTCAGCAGCTGGACCACCTTATCAAGAACTGAAACTAGACTGTTGCCCTTTGCCTCCCTCCTAAGGAACATTCATATCAACAATAACATATTTGAACAGAATATGAACTTTCTGCATTTCCCCTTTTGTCACTCTCCACGTCACTCTCCACGTCGCTCAGTCACTCTCCACGTCGCTCAGTCACTCTCCACGTCGCTCAGTCACTCTCCACGTCGCTCAGTCGCTCTCCACGTCGCTCAGTCACTCTCCACGTCGCTCAGTCACTCGCCACGTCGCTCTCCACGTCACTAAGTCACTCTCCACGTCACTCACACGCCACGTCACTCTCCACGTCACTCTCCACGTCACTCTCCACACACCTAGTACCTCTTTACCCTTCCTTGACCCCTAACATATACATTCCTTATACATGTAAAGTAGCAATACATTCTAGTATGGTAACATGAATAAATATATCTCAAGCTAGAATCCAACAATACCTCAAATAAACATTGTTCAAGATCCAAATCCCCTAAAAATAGAGATGTTTCTATGTTAAATGCACATGTTTAGTATTAGTGTATTGAAGACCTCGCTTTGCTTTACTTCCTAAAGTGTTTCCATTCCCTTTAAGATTAGGATTGGGGGAAGGGAAGCTGGTCCTAGATCTGTGCTTAGGGGAAACTTGACCCTGGTGTGTGGAAGTGCTTTTTGTTTCCATGACTGTCCATGTATCTGTAACCTTTTGAAATGTATACATTTCTGTTGAATGTGATGTGATTTGTGGATTTAAATAGTGTTTAAAATGTGTCTCCTAGATCATGCTGAGTCTTCAGCAGAGGGCTCAGAAGAGGACCAGCTATCTGCTACGTCTGGACCAGATCAGCCCCCGCCTGGCTGCCATGGCGACCACAGAGATGGCGTTGCCGGGCGAGGTGTCGGCGACGGACGCGTTGACCATCCAGAGTGTTGGTAACACCATCACCATCCTGCCAACCAAGACCAAACCCAAGAAACTACACTTCCTGGGCTCCGACGGACGCAACTACCCTTACCTCTTCAAAGGTAGCTAACAGACACACACTTAGCACACACACACACACACGTTTCCATTTTAGTCATTTAGCAGACGCTCTTATCCAGAGCGACTTACAGTTAGTGAGTGCATACATGGACGCAACTAGCTCTACCAGACAGAACGACCTCCAGGCAGACAACCAGCAGGAATATAAAGCCTGAACCTCATTCTCCTCCCTTCTACCTCCATCCCTCCCTGCTCTCTCGTTCCCTCTCTCTGATTTGACCCTCATCTATTCCCCCCTCTCTCTCTGATTTGACCCTCAACTATTCTCTCTCTTTCAGGTCTGGAGGACCTCCACCTAGATGAGAGAATCATGCAGTTCCTTTCCATAGTCAACACAATGTTCACCAAGGTACGTACGATCGTTCATTGATTAATCATTTAAAGTACAAGGCCGCTCCAGCCAGAGACAACAGTATCGAGAATGGGTCTGTGCGGTTCAGCTGTAAAAAATACACCAAAAATAATAAATAATCTAGATAATACTTCATTAAAATTGAAGGCTTGTTCCAGTAATGTTTACATAAAGAAATAATAAAAAGGCTCAGCTTCTTCTAG